TCTTCTGTGGCGGAGAAGGCAGTGGCACCCCACTCCAGTACTCTTGTCTGGAAAATCCCATGGAAGGAGGAGCCTGGTAGGCTGTAGTCCATGGGGTTGTGAAGAGTCGGATACGACTGAGCGACTTCACTTTCACTTTTCACTTTCATGCATTGGAGAAGGAAATGGGAACCCAGTCCAGTGTTCTTGCCTGGAGAATCCCAGGGACGGGGGAGCCTGTTGGGCTGCGGTCTATGGGGCTGCACAGAGTCAGACACCACTGAAGCGACTTAGCAGCAACAGCAGCTTTTGTGGAACTTATAGTTTCATTATTCCTTCGTAGGTAGCATATTCCATAAGCTTACCGCCTACTTTGTAAAGTTGCAGTTTGTTTCATTTGACCTAAAGCTGCACCTTTTACGGATGCCCTTGGTTTAGATACGTTCTTCTTTGATGAACAAGCTTTTTTCACTTGAATTTGAATTCATTCATTAATTCAACTAATGTTTATTGAGTAGTGACTATACAATAGAATGTCTGATGGAGGCCAGAGTTTATTTAGGATAAAAGCTTAAAAAGAATCCCATGAATCTACCAGCCACTGAGGGACTAGAGTATTCCCTAAACCTTTGAAGTTTCCCATTCCTGTGACCCTGTGCCTTCCCAGGGATAACCAGTATCCTAGATTTTGTGTTTATCATCCCCTTGCCTTTTAATGTATGTATTTTTACCACATACAGGTATTGATATATGTAATTTTTTCCTGATTTCAAAATAGTGGTAGGTTTTAAGAAAGTGAATTCAGAATACTGCTTTTGTTCAGTGGTCATAGTTTCTAAAGAAAAACCTTCATAATAAATCCTTATAAAACAGGTGATTTTGAGTTTCAGAATTTTTTTTTCATGTTTCCATCATACACCATCTTATACACTGAGTCACTTACTTAGAACTTTGTACTCGCCCTTGTCATATCCTGTGTCTGTCCCTGAATGCAGCACACTCGAGCAGGAAGCATTTCTTTGCTTTCTTCTAAATTTGCAACCCAGGCAGCTAATTTGCCTAGTGGCTTAATTTTTAACGGCTGGGTGTATGCAAGAGTACCCGTAATCTCTGAATCAAATTCAAAGATGCCAGGACAATCTGATGTAATATTATTTTATCATGGTTCGCTTTCATTTAAGGAGCAATATTGGTCTCCTAATTTATTGTACTTATTGCACATAACCAGGCATCCTAGTGAGTCTTTTACTTAAAATAGCTTAACTAAGCTTATTCATTTTTAAATACTAAATTTAAGTGTATCCACTAGATGTCAGCATTAGGAAAGGTGTATTGTACCATGTGTAGAATCACAGCCGGAAGAAATGTGAGAGGTTCAGTCTGAGTAGTAAACTGACCTGTGTAAAGTCACATATTTTGTGATAGAATCAGAACTAGACATCAAAATCCCCCAATTTTCATTCCGTTCTTTATGTCACATAAACAAAGTTATTGGCCTTTTGTTTAAGGCCAATAACTTAACTCCCTGTAATCGCTAGACTAATGAAATATATTGATCTTGACATGTGCTTGTGAGATTTTAGTACTACTATAATGATACTGTAGCTGGGCACCCAGAAACACCTAGATCCTGCTTCTTGCTCTTTATATTTTTCAGAGTAAGGAGAATCAAAGTGTTACCTTATTAGGAGCTACACTAATACCTGGTGATGCTAGATTAGAAGTATTGATAAGGTTAAGAATTAAGTTATTCTCTTTGAGTTCCTCTGTATAAGTCAGATTTCAACCAGGAAGGCAGAAATCTTGCCAAGTATTTTAAAACAGGAAATTTAATATATGGATTTATTTACACAAGTGTTGGAAGCCCAAGCAAAATGATGCTGGGGTCTGTGTTTTTACGTACAACACTTCTGTCACCAATTCTGGACTGTTTTCCAACACCACCTCTGACACCAAATGTGTGGAGTTTCTCCCTCACACCAGCCAGTTCCCCAACTCTCCAGGCACCATCTAGGTGTCCTGCACTCTATTTTGATTCTGACATTAACTGTGTGAAGTGAGTATACACCTCACAGGTTAAGGGCTCCGTCCCTGGAGACTGTCCCCACTCCAGATGTCAGGCGCAAGTCCTTGGCCTCCTCTGCCTCTCACTGCCCCCCATGAATCAAGGCTTCCCACAACCCCATCCTCACATTTAGTGACTTGCTTTGATCAATGACTCATAGAACTCAGGGGAACACTTTACTTGTTTCAGTTTATTATAAAGGATTTTATAAAGGATACAAATGAACCACGGATGAAGAGGTGCATAAGGTGAGAGGTCTGGAAGTATCCTGAGCACGGACATTTCTGTCCCCGTGGAGTTGGGCTGTGCCTCTCTTCCAGTGGGTAACTGCGTTTACCAGCCTGGAAGCTTCATTATGCAAGCCTGACTGATGATAAGTCATTGGTGGTTGATCAAACTCAATTCTTTTTTTACAATTAAAAAATGTTTAATGCCACCCATGACTGTTCCTTTACAGAGAATAGAGAATATATTCATTGCAAAGAATAAAATTCCTTAACCTAACATCCAAGGCTCTCTCTGATTCAACATCAACCCGGACTTCAGTAGAGCGGAGTGGCTAAGGGCACTTGGAGGTGGGCCGCCCCAGCCTGAATGTTAAGAGGTCAGGAGATAGGGCTGAAAGTTGCAGCTCTCTGGTCATGCCTTGGTCTTCGTGGCAACCAGTCCCCATCTTGAAGCTAACTAGAGGCTTGCCAAGAGTCAGCTACAAAAACAAAAGAGGCTCCTGCCACCCTGGAAATTCAAGGGATTTAGGAGCTCTGTGTAAGGAACTGGTGATAAAGACCAAGTTACATATGTGTTATATCACACAAGATAACTTAGATATTAATGGTACCCACAGGAAGTAGCCATCACTTCTAAAGCAAAAGGCACGAGGTGGATTAGGAAGAATTTAGATGCTTGGAGGAGGAAGACTGGATGCTTAGACCTCTGAAGGGGGCGGCCAGGCCTTTCTCTGCTTCCAGGAGTGCCACAGAAACGAGAATTTGGAACCACAGCTGCCTTTTGCTCACAGGAAATACTAACAGAACTTGAAAAACAGAAAGAAGGACCTTCTTTCTTCCCACCTTCCAGTTTTTTTTTCATGGCTCCCCCAGACAGAATATACTGAGCATTCAGCTGACAGTCTAGGACATGAACTTTACAGCTTCCTTGTCCCAACATCACAAAGCAGATTAGAGAAAGATTGGCGTGGGGAGTGAGAAATAGGTGAGGAACCATCACGGTCCACCTCTGACTCTCAGCACTCGCTTATCCATGTTGAATCAAGGACAACAGTAACAGCAGTTTCATGCTTCCTCTCCGAATGTTTGTTCTTGGATAGCTCATGCACTAAGGGTTCAGGTGGGAGGGGGAAAGTTTCTATGAATCTAGAATCACAGAGAGAAGGAGGAGTCTCCTTATTTTCTAAGTTTAGTGGAACCAGACATGGGGAGAGACTTGCAGTCCTGGGAGCTCAGGTTTTGCTTAAGCACGTTTACCACAAAAAAGATCAGAAAACAGCAAGGTCAGGAGCAGAAGGGAAACATCGGTTGTACCATGTAACGAGCAGGTATTTGTTGCTGTCATTGTCATTGTGTAAGAATGATTCTGTTGAGCAGCTTCTCTTGTTGGGAAGAAGGTGGGGAGGAAAGGGGAGAAGTAGGAGCAGGAAGGTGAGTGTGTGATGTACATTTGCAGTACCATCAGGAGAGCAGACAGCGTAATGTCATGTTAATTATTGCAGATGTTTTATTGGCAGACTTGCTTGAGTTGGTTATTTCTCTCCATAATACTGTTGCTCGGAGAAGGCAATGGCAACTCACTCCACTACTCTTGCCTGGAAAATCCCATGGCCGGAGGAGCCTGGTGGACTGCAGTCGATGGGATTGCTAGGGGTCGGGCATGACTGGGCGGCTTCACTTTCACTTTTCACTTTCATGCATTGGAGAAGGAAATGGCAACCCACTCCAGTGTTCTTGCCTGGAGAATCCCAGGGACAGGGAAGCCTGGTGGGCTGCCGTCTCTGGGGTCGCAGAGTTGGACACGACTGAAGCGACTTAGCAGCAGCAGCATACTGTTGCTCACCTGTTGGGGGTTTTCAGCTTCTTACATAAAACTAGTGTGTTTAATACCATTAACTGCTGTGTTCCTACTGTGAATTGCAGCTATATGAGAAGCTAAGAAAGAATTGTGATTATACCTCTCCTTTAAACTACTGTGCACCTAACTGATCCTTTAAAGAAATATCATTGGACTCACCTGTCTACAGTCATTAAGTTAATTCATTAGATATTTAGTGAATATGAACCCTGCCCTGTATCAAATATTTCCTTTGGCTTTCCTCATAGCTCAGTTGGTAAATCATCTGCCTTCAATGCAGGAGACCTGGGTTTGATTCCTGGGTTGGGAGGATCCCCTGGAGAAGGAAATGGCAACCCACTCCAGCATTCTTGCCTGGAGAATCCCATGGACAGAGGAGCCCAGCAGGCTACAGTCTACAGGATCGCAAGAGTTGGACACAACTTACTGACTAAACCGCCACCATGGTGAATATACATTTGGCGAATAATTAATATTCACCTATGGGCAAAACTGAATATCTTTATTGGGAAGATCCCCTAGAGAAGGAGTGGTTACCCACTCCAGTGTTCTTGCCTGGAGAATTCCATGGATAGAGGAGCCTGGCGAGCTATAGTCCATGGTGTTGCAAAGAGTCGGACATGATTGAGCGACTGACACTTTCACTTTTCACTATTCACCTAAGGCCAAAGCTGAAAATCAGTGTAGAATAAATTTCTGAGATAGATGAATAAACCTGAAAACTTATCAAAATTATTATGTTATTAATTGTAATAGATTTAAAAGTTTGACCTATTGAAAATTTTTTTTTTTAACTTTCACTGCAAAATAATTTATTAAAACACAGCTTCAACCTCCTATATACAAGCGTACATACTTCTGACTACCCTAACTAGGGGACCCTTTTCTTCTCCCTTGCCTTGCGAACCTCCTCTATCAGATCTTTAAGATACTGGATCTCCTTGGCCAAGGAATGTGCCTTCTCTTTCAGAGCCTCATTCTTCTTTTCTAGCTCTTTACATTCACCAGTGAGAGCCTCCTGTTCTGCCCTCTTCTTCTGGTGGTACCTAGTGGCTGCTGTCTTGTTCTGCTCCATTTTCTGCAGCTTCTTGTCTAGCTTCTCACCCTTTACTTTTGCTGCTACCATCTTCTCTCCAGGAGGGTCGTAGGGTTTGTGGCGGGAAGAGCCACCGAGGGCACCTGGAGATAGCAGGCTGTTATTTGGAGAGCCCCTGGAGGTGGAGGGGCTATGCTGGGGAGAGCCCAGCGAGGAGTCAGGGTTCATACAGATGCCACTATCATTATCTGAGGGGGCATCCTCCTCCTTTATGCCCTGAGGGATCACAGTACTGCAAGTGGTGGAGTCTGGCTTGCTTTCTCCTTCAGAGATAACCACTTCACTGCATAGCTCTAAACTAAAGGAATGATCTGGAGTGGAAGACAGGGCCCTGGGGAAGGGGGAAGAGGTTGCAAGAAAGTGAAGGGGGCACCCTGGTCAATTGTTGGTAAGCTTTCTGGAAGATGGCCAACTGTGTTCACTATCTGGGGGGGCTCCTTGTTAGTCTCCTGGAGTAGGGGATCAAAGAGATCACACGTGTCATCCAACGTGGCCAAGAGCTCATCTGGCATGGTTTCCAGGTCATCCATACTCAACAGGGTATCATTAAAATCAAACTCCTTCAAATCCATTTTCTCCACCATCCAATCTGTCCCGGAGAAAGCATCCTCCTTGCTGTTGTCTGAGAAACTGACCAACCCATCCACAGCCAGCCATTCGGAGGATCCTGCCTTAGCCTTGTCGCAGGAGAACCCATGAGGTTTGAAGTGCTTGGCCACCTCCAGGTAGTCATCTAGGAGACCTAAGCTCTCTTCATCCCCCAAATCCGACGGGTCGAATGGGGACACGAAGTCCCTCATGAACACCTCGCTGCTCAGGAAGCTCATCTCGGCCATGTTGCGAGCTTTTGGTGCTCAATTCGAGGAATGTGCTTAATTCGAAGGTGTCTTTGTCGATTACAGCAAGGCTGCTGCTGAATGCCGTGAAAAGCCTGGATAGCAATTAGAAACCGAGTCCCATTAGAAATCAGCTGGTCCGAGAACTTCATCTTCTCACCCATTAGGCAGGATGGCCAAATCAGAACTCCACTCCGTGTTGAAAATAGGGACCACGTGGCCCCAAGGCCATGGTGTCACCCTTACATTAGGCCGCACAAGATCTATTGAAAATTTTTTATTGTTGTACTATTGCCAGCTGCTAGCTTCCTCCTGGAGTCACTTCTGCTGTTCATTTGCAATATTGAATTGGCATTAGCTTTCAGATGGTTGGTGGTGGTGCAGTCTAGAAGCAGGTCTACAAACAGAACTTTGTGCACTGTTTGAAGAAGATGGCGCCTGAAATTATTTCAGAAGCAAACATGCCGTGAGATTGTTGATATCACTTGAATTATTTTCAAGTTTCTACTATTTTAGCCTGGACTTGCTGCTTTGTGTAATCCCTTGAGAAATGTTTATCCTTAAACCTTAGACCTAGAAATATTGCACTGCAGTTAATGTAACAGCTTTCAAGATAGCAAAGCCCTATGAGTTTCTACCTGCCTTTCTCTTTTTCATTCACCAGATTGCAGCATTTTCTGTGTAGTAGATTGATGGGAAGGCTTTTTTCAGTGTGTGTCATTTCTGTAATTAGTCTGTTAGAGCACGTGAATTTGGTTATTTCTTCAACAGGCTCCAGCAGGTGGAAGTTATTAGTAATTGTTTTTTTTTGCTGAAGGTGTCAATTATCTTCAGAGTACAATATTGATACTTTTTACAGTAAGGCAGACTTTTAAACATGTGATAACTACTTGGTGGAATATAGTCACAAAGCAATTCTGGACTCTTGTGTCTCTGGTAGTTTGTCTTCAGAAGGAGAATTATTAAAGGAATTTTTTATTTTTTTGCTTGTACAAGCCACAGTTTGTTACATTACATTGTGTAATAGTTTCTGAATACACAACTGAAGAGTGTGAACAAAATGTAAGCTTGTGACTCTTTAGTCATTCCTGGCCTTCATCATGTATGTACCATTGTCAGTGAACATGGTGTCATATTTTTCATTACTGATTTTCCATCCAGTTAATACTGCTTCAGAGTCATCGTACAGGTTATATGAGAATCAGAAATGTCTTGGTAGACAAGTAAAGACTATGCTTAGCTGAGTTCCATACCCACCATTTTGTTGATTTTAAAGATTTTCAGAGGTCTGAATAGCTGTAAGATCGAGAAATAGCATATTTAATATTAAGTAAAATTTTATATGTAACAATATATTTCAGGAACATTGTATGATAATATGTAACCCTAGGCAAAAGAAGACCTTTTTGCCTAGAATTCAGAGCTTGCGTAAATAGAAGAAATTAGTCTAACACTAAAAATGGTCATCTCTTGTTGGGGTCCTTTAATGGACCGGAACCTGGTGGTACGGAGTCGACAATAAGAAAGTGAAAGAGAGAAAGAGGCTGATATCCCTTGGTTTACGCAGAGGACCAATAAAGTCCTTGACACAGGACTTGCATCGCTCACGAAGGCACCAGGTGCCCTCTCGAGGGGGTCTTAGAAGCCCGGGCAGAAAAGTGAGCATGATGGGTCTCCACGCTCCAGAGAGTCAGCCAGAAAGAGAGAGAGAGAGAGACAAAAAAGACCCGGGGACCTAAGCTCTGATGAAACAAAGGTGCTTTAATGATTTTCCTAAGAGTATATATAGGCTGTGGTACAAGAAACTTCTTTCGGGAATGATAGAGATCAGAAAACCAAACGTACAGTAACCGTTACCAAGGGAACAAGGGGTAATGTTAGTCACAAGGTCAGGACACAATCCATATCTCAAGAAAGGGGAACGAGATTAAGCAGTTTTGTCCTAAAGAGAATGTTTACTAAAGGAGACCCAAGTTTGCCTCACACAGTGACCTCCGTCCCTGGGAGCAGCGTGCTGTTCCGCTTGAAGAGGGACAAAGGACTCATGAGAGATGGCACGTAGGAATCCTCCCATCAAACATTCCCTGACAATTCCCCCTTATTTATTTATAATATTTGTAAGAAGAGTTCTGACCACCAGAGTTTGTTCAGTTTTGACAATCTTTGCATGAAGGCAACAGTAGACAACAAATATAATTGTTAAGACAATCACCAAAATTATAGTTCTAGACCCAATGCTATGAGTAAGGCTTTGAAACTATCCATGTGGGTCTAGCCCAGATAATTGATCAGCCAATTGTATAGCTAAAGTTCCCATACTAGTGGAAGAGGGCAGATTATTAGAAAAGGTTTTACAAATTTTTTTTTTTTTGTAATAACTGTACATTCAGAAAGGCATTATCATATGTTTTAAAATTGAAACTTGATTTGTTTCCAGTTGTAGCCACTATTATAGAAATGAACAGGAGTAACAGGAAATTGAGTAGAATTTCAATCACATTTTAGCATCATCTGTTTTTGGACATTTGTTCATTGATCTCGAACCCATTTGATGGCTGTTCTCAGTTCTTGTATTTCTTTTTGAATATCCTCATCTATTTGAGCCTGAGTGGCCCACATAATATGAGCATCTTTAGTCCAATTTTGGATAAAATTATGTGTTTGAATTGAGGTTTGTAAAGTAACGCTAGTGATGGCAGCAATGGTGCAAATAGTTATTAACCCTATAATGCCAAAAATCAGCCATCCAATGAATCGTTTACATCGCTAGAGCAATTTAGTTAAATAACTGGGAAGCAAGTTTAGCCTTGGGACCTTCTTCCCAGGGCCATTGGAGATTTATTGGTAACCATAGATTATGTCGAGATCGAAGAATCAAAAGGGAGTCACTTTTTAAGGAAATAGAGGAGTTAAGACAAGTATATAATTTACAATTTATGCAAGTTACAGAACGTAAAGTCTTATTGAATTGTAAATTTCCTATAGCTACAACAAAAGGAAGTGGAACATAGGCTTGTATAAAATATGATTGATTATAGTGAAAGAAATTGCTATAGCTATGATTGGTCCCTGTTCGGGCGCCATTTGTTGGGGTCCTTTAATGGACCGGAACCTGGTGGTACGGAGTCGACGATAAGAAAGTGAAAGAGAGAAAGAGGCTGATATCCCTTGGTTTACGCAGAGGACCAATAAAGTCCTTGACACAGGACTTGCATCGCTCACAAAGGCACCAGGCAAAAATGACCTGGGGACCTAAGCTCTGATGAAGCAAAGGTGCTTTAATGATTTTCCTATGAGTGTAGGCAGCTCTTCTTAAGGAATTTTCCTGCACAGAGAAGCTGGGAATAGAGTGGGAGCTGGGGAGGGAAATAGTATCAAGATGAGTTTTTGCTTTGTATTAAGATGGGAGAAATAGCTGCATGTGTGCCAAAGAGGAGCGTATAGAAGAAGAATAGCTGTAAAGCAGGAAGGAAACTCAGGTGAATATATTACCCTAAATGTCACATGAAGAAAATGTTTCAGGAAGGAGTAAATAATAAATTGGGGCAGAGGCTATTAAGAGGTCCAGTGAGTTGAGCTGTGAGAATTGGCCTTTGGACTTTACCAGATGCAGGTCTCAGTGAGCTTAACAGAGAACCAGCTTCCTCATAGTAGTAGTGGGTGTAAAAGCCAGACTGGATTGAGCTGAGAGAATGAAAGGTAGAAAAATAGGAAGACATAGTTACAGACAGCTCGTTTGACAGGTTGCTATAGGGAGGATGGGCAGGATGACGTGGTTGTAGAGAGGGTATGAAAGGCTGCTTTTCATATAGCGAGGAGAATAGGCCCCTGAGGGAAGGGCGTCTGTCAGGAACCTTGATACTGTCAGGAACAGGTGCAGAGGAAAGCAAGTGATTGTTAGTGAAATAAGGGGGTAGAAAGGACAGTAGGTGTTTCCTTTTCTTGTTTATTTGGGGGGTAAAAATATAAGGAGGTCATTTCTTCATGTGAGGATGGAATATACATTGGTTGAGGTTTGAGGCGATCTTTGTTAAAAGCCTGGGGAATAGTCAGCTGGTAGCGGTGGGGAGAGGAGAGTAGGATTGTTCAGCTAACTTGAGAGCGCGCTTCCTGTCCGTGGTCACACGTTTAATGGAGTGGCTCTTGACTGGGGGCAGTTTTGCTCCCTGGGGAATAGTTGATGATATCTGGAGACCGTGTTGGTGGTCACAGCTGGATGTTGGGATGATACCAGGTATCTAGTGGGTAGTAGCCTGGGATGCTGCTAAACATCCTACAATGTAGGGAACAGCCCTCAAACAAAGAATGACGTGGTTCAAATGTTAATAGTATCAAGTTTAAGAAACTGATTTATAGTGACTGTGTCAGTATGTTTGAGTTTTCCTTCTTTCTTCCCCCAGCAAGAAGCATTTATTAAATTTATAAGCTGGATGTAAACAAACCTGACACTAACCAGAGTCACTCAGAATGTGCTAGGTATGCTGAAGGAGAGAGTGGGCACTGTGATGGGAGATAACTGGGCAGGGGTACAGCTGCCGTTGGCAAGGTTAGGGACAAAGGCCTCTCTGAAGAGGGGGCGTTTGAGGGGAGGCCTGAAGGGCGAGGGGCTTCCCCAGTAGCTCAGTGGTAGAGAATCGGCATGCAGTACAGTAGCTGTAGGAGACAGAGGTAGAGTCCTGGGTCAAGAAGATCCCCTGGAGGAGGGCATGGCGCCCCACTCCAGTATTCCTGTCTGGAGAATCCCATGGACAGAGGAGCTGGCAGGCTGCAGTCCATAGGGCCGCAGAGAGTCAGACACAACTGAAGCGACTATGCACACACACATGCTGAGGGATGAACAGAAGCCAGCTGTGGGAAAAACCCTTGAAAGTAGCATTCTGGGCAGAGGAGACAGCATTATAAGATCCACCCTGAGCTCAAAAGGGTAAATGAAGCAGCAGCATCTCTTAGGAATTTTCTGGAAAGAAAGATGAAATAGCACATTAATTGTGCCATGTAGTTGTGTTTCCAGGGGCTTCTGTTACTCTAGGTAAAGACGCTTCTTTTCAAATGTTGTATGGGAAAATGCTCCAATGTATTTATTAAATGCCTTTTGTGAGCTCAGAAACACATGTGACAGACCACCGGCCAGGAAGAACACATTCCTTTCCAGATAAGCTGCCAGTTTTGAAACAAACATATAAATAAGAGCTCTTGGTCACAGAATTCCACCAGAAATCTTGCAAACACTTGAAGTAAACTATATGTGACTTCTGCGTATTAAATTTCTTCTTAGCTTATTTAGTAAATATTTATAATATTTAGTTTAAATCCAAGAACCACAATAAAAAGCAAATCAAAAGGAAATTCTTCACTTTTTCCTCCTGAATTCAGATTGTCAGACTTATAGTTTAGCATTGTAAATAGTAACTTTTATAATTTAACTTTGAAATAGTGCCTCTCAAGTCTATCAGAATTTTGGACCAAGTTTTATATAATGTGAAAAATCTTTTATGTATTTTGTGTCAGGTTCATTTATTCATCTGAAATTCAGAGATCATATTAGAACTCTTTTAGATGCAAATGACAGAGGCCCTGCTCAACTAAAAAGGTAAAAGGGACATTGATTGAAAGAAACTAGGATGTCTTAAAACCAGAGGAAAATCTCGCAACTGAACTGAGGCAAATGGCAGCAGCTGAAACTTGGGAACAAATAAAATGAGAAATGAAGGACTTGAGAACACGTCGTGTGACTCTCAGCAACATGTTGGCTTCTGACAGAGTGGCTTCCTCAAGGGCAGGAAACTCACGGGTTCCAGAGTCTCACGTGCACAGGTTCTGCCGCTGGGAACAGACCCTCTGGGTCAGTCAGATCGTTCTGACAGCAGCCGGAGCAAGGGCAGTGGCTGCTCTGCCAGGTGTGGTCCTCAAGGTTTTGCTTCCACTGCATTAACCCGTTTAATGATTTTATGAACCCTCTGCAGTGGAGGTGGTTACTGTATATATTTCACAGATGAGATGGAGAAGGAAATAGCAGCCCGCTCGAGTATCCTTGCCTGGAAAGTCCCACGGACAGAGGAGCCTGGCAGGCTACAGTTCATGGGGTCACAAAGAGTCGGTTATGCCTGAGCACACACAGATGAGTGAACTGAGGCTTGGAGAAGTGAGGAAGCTTGACTAAAGTCACAAAGCTTAGAAGTGGCAGAGTTGTCAGGGGTGGGTTGGGGGGTTAAACCCTGGCAGTCTGGTACCCAGCAGAACTGACAAATACTGTTATGTCATAGTCACTGAAATCAGTCACACTGAGGAGATGGAGAGGGAAATGGCACCGACTCCAGGATTCTTGTCTGAAGCGTCACACAGACAGAGGAGCCTGTCCGCGGGGTTACCTCACGTCGGACACGACTGAGCAGCAGCATACTCATAGGTATTGAAATCAGTCACACTGGAGATGGAGAGAGTTGTTTTTTTTAACTGTAAACTATGTAAGACAGCAGGAATATGGTTTTAATTTTTTTGTTTATTATTAAAAAATAATAAGCTTCTGGTGGCTCATAGGATAAAGAATCTTCCTGCAGTGCAGGAGAAGCCAGGTTCTCTGAGTTGGGAAGATCCCCTGAAGAAGGGATTGGCTACCTGCTTCAGTATTCTTGCCTGGAGAGTCCCATGGACAGAGGAGCCTAGCGGGCTCCAGTCCATGGGGTCCCAAAGAGTCGGACAGGACTGAGTGAGTAAAACTTTGACTTTATTAAGAGATAGTATGTAGTGTAGTGTTAAGTCACTCAGTCATGTCTGACTCTTGGCAATTCCACGGATTGTAGCCCACCAGGCTCCAATGTCCATGGGACTCTCTAGGCAAGAATACTGGAGTGGATTGCCATTCCCTTCTCCAGAGGATCTTCCTGATCCAGGGATCAAACCTGGGTCTCCTACGTTGCAGGCAGATTCTTTACCGTTTGAGCTGCAGGGAAGACCATTAAGAGATAGGACAACTGATAGTATTATAGTGAACCATTTTCAGACCTTTGAAAAATTCCATGGGTTTTTGTTCAAAGAAACACATGATGTAGATTGTCTGTGTGCTGTTGAGTTTGCCCCTAGGAGACATTTGCCGCTCTCCAGGATCATTTCTGTCTGTCACAACTTGTGTGGTGGGTTAGTTAGTACTGGCATCTGGTGTATAGAGGCCCGAGGTGCTGCTGAAGACCTTCCAGTGTGAGACCGACCCCTCTCAACAGCGGCATGAACGTGAAAGTCTCTAGTTGTGTCTAACTCTCTGCGACCCTGTGGACCATACATACAGTCCATGGAATTGTCCAGGCCAGGATACCGGAGTGGGTTCCCTTCTCCAGGGGATCTTCCCAATGCAGGGATCGAACCCAGGTCTCCTGCATTGCAGGCCGATTCTTTACCAGCTGAGCCACCAGACTCGGCCCCAAATGTTAGTAGTCCTGAGGTTGAGAAACCCGTATTAGATAAACTGGGCCATTTTCTAACTAAGAGTCACTCTTTGGGATGAAGACGTGAAAAGGATTCTGAATCTTTGTGTACTTGGGAAGAGTGAATAGGTCAAGACCAAGTATGATGCTGGGTGACGGGTGTTAGTGGCACGTTAGGCTGGGGTGCCTCGAAAGAAGGACTAAGTAGTGGAAGAAATTCACTGAAGGAGATGTAGAAAAATGGAGCAGATAAACTTGGCTAGTTTCAGTATTTTCCCTGAGGATCACTGTGTGCATCCAAGTGCTAAGGTGAGGACACTTAGATCTCTGTCTTCTCTTTCCTCTACCTGGTGGTGGTCTCACAGGACTAATTATAGGGCAGCATTTTAGCAATACTCTTGACAGAAGTGGGCCATGGGTTTTGCGATTTATAAAAATGTAGTTTGTATTAAAAGAAACAGCCATTTTTTTTTTAAGTTACTTTGTGAATTTTGGATTTTAACACAGGGAACGTTTTAATTGGATGCTTTTGTATGCCATACACTGTGCTAATAAATTGGTATTTAATCTCATTGAACTCTCATAATAGCCTTTTAAGATGGTTACTGTGAAATGTGTATTTTACTGGGGAAAATGAGTCCCAGAAAAGTTGACTACTATCCTCAAGGCAAACAGCTCTTTAGGTAGTTAAACTTTTGGTTTAATTCCATAGATTAAGCTCTTTTAACAACAAATAGCGTGCTGCCTTTTCCTCTTAAAGACAGTTACCTTCCTTTCACATGCTGATTTTCCATCTGTGGTTTAAGTTTTGATACCTGTAGGTAATTCTTTGTATATTTGGTCTTAGTTCTTATTAGTGACAGAATTTATATATGTTTGGAAACAGATACTCCATATATATTTGAAAGGTTTTGAAAGTTGAAGCTGTGAAATAGTTTTTTCCCAAATGTTCCTAAAAAATTTATTGAATAGATTTAGTAATACTCTGAGGTCATTCTTTGGATGTTTTATTTTTTCTTGTGTATAAAAGCTTGGTATTATTAAACTTTTCACAGTGTATAAGATAATTAAGATGAAATTTTTCTCTTTTAGTTTTAATCTCAGACAGTCCATCTGTGTCATACATTGTACAAAATCCTTTCAGTGAAATTCTGTGTAATAAGAATTTTAGTATCAAAAATAACATAGGTCCCTATTGCTGCCATATGGGGCATTATTTTAAGAGAGGGGTCCCTTCAGTGTTAACCATTGTTGTGAATAAACTAAACTGCTTATAACATTTCTAAGAAGTGTATTCCAGTTCATCAGACTTTGGTCTGTGAAGTGAGTAACCATTACACGCAGACTCTTATTTCCTCTTCGGGAAGCTTAGAGTTTGGAACGTATGCCAGTGCTCAGAGAGTAGGTGGAGGAAGGGAGCACAGCGCAGGACACCGGTGCTAACTCGTTTCAGACTTTTTTGTAATAGGGCTCAAGCAATAAGGTGTTTTCTTTCATCGATAAAAATATTGTTACTTTGTATTTCACTTCATTTACCTTTACCAGAGCTTCCATATTTGGAGAGAAAGTATGGAGCTTAGAGGAGGGGAGGGAATGGTCTGTTGGTGGTGTCTTAGACTGCCTTCCCTATAGCTGCTACATTTTCAAGGTGTGAATCTGATTTCCTGGAGGATCCTGACCCCTCCTTACACCTTCATCCCCACTGAGTCATGGCAAATTCTTGGGCGAGGTTTACATCAATGCATTATTTTTCCTCTGCAAACTTAAAGAATTATAATATTTACTGGCTCCCTTTGTGTTGGTTTTGCTGTGTTAACTTTTAAGTTACATACTTTGTGTACAATTGATATTGTTGAATAATCAACCTATGAGTTAAATAATAAAAAGTTTGATTAATCTTAGAAATATAGAAAATGTAGAAATACTGGTTTATGTATGGTAAAATTTTAAAAATGAGTCATTAATTGATATCTCCCTTCAGTCTTTAATGGTTAAGTGTGGTTTGAATACTGTCTTCCTTATACTCCTAATAGGATTTGCTTCTACAAGAGGGAAAATATCCCCAGTATTTAAAAATAATGGTCTCAGTATTTCTTTAGGTGAGAAAGCTATTCTTAATGTTAATTTAAATTGAGAATATATGCCTTAAGCATTTTAAAGGAGTAACACTTAGCATAGATGTTAATGAAATGTAACTATTGTAAGTTAAATGTAAAAATCTAATCTTTCTTTCCAGTTTTGCTTTATGTAAATTTTTGGATATGTGGAAAAGAGGGACAAGAGCTATAAACTCAGAGCCAAATGTGCTTTTGTTGTTCCAAATTTTCAATGCCAGAAGCATATAAACCTGCACCTGTTGGTAATTATGAGCAAGCCAGCCTTTGCCGAATCCCAGGCCTCTGCTTAAAACTTTTTTACTGGAACTAAACAATGTTGCCATTTTTATTTTTAGGTTTGCTGGCATGGGTAATCTCATTAAGGTGCTAACCAGGGACATAGACCACAATGCAGCACATTTTTTCTTGGACTTTGAAAGTAAGTCTCTTAGCCCCTCACGGCTGGTGCATAATGGTAAAGGTGAAAGATAAATTAATACTCACACCACAGTGAAGGCCAGCTTTGTTAATAAAATACGGGGATCACACAAAATTTGCATGACTTTTTTTCTTAATCATAGGCAAACATCACCATCATATGTATAATTTAGTTTTTCATTTGCCGAATCATGTTGAGTGTGTAGCCGGTGCTGTCCTTTCATTAGTCCATGAAGCAACTAGCCTTATGATGAACATTCTAATAGTATGCCTCAGTGACTGCCCAGCAATCTGGTTGCTTATAACCCTATAGTAATTCTATTCATATGAAGAATCAGAGTTGTGCTGCATATCCAAAATCAATTCTTTAAATAACTTTCACAAATTATTGGAAATCCAAATTCGATTAGGAATACATGCTTTGTTGAATGGCATACAGGAAGTAGTCTAATATTCTGCTACTCTTAAGATGAAAGCAAAGGTGAGCTGTGGCCGAAATTCTTAATATTTGGCTTTAAAATAAATTGTTGTTTCAGTGCAATATTAAACAAGATTACCTGTGAATAATTCTTGATCAGAAATTTCTTTTTCAGAATACTAGCACTATTGGAATACTTAAAGAATTTTTCATTATAAGGCCATTAATGAAACTTGGGAGAATTTTGTGAGAATTTTAAGAAGAATTAGAGCAACAGTTGTGCCATTGTGTACAGGAAAACTACATTTCACCTCTAGGTCCTACATATCAGCACCTGGAGAGCCCGCTTTGCTGTCTGCTCGAGCACAGTCTGGGTAACCTGAAGGACGAATTCATGGCCTAATGAACATTTTCCCTGTTACGATTTTTTTTTTTTTAAGTTAAATTTCAGATGTTCTTTTTTATAAAGGGATATTTTCTCTTTTCTCATTCTTGTCTTGACAGGTACCTTAACATGGGGAATCTTCTTAAAGTTTTGACATGCACAGACCTTGAGCAGGGGCCAAATTTTTTCCTTGATTTTGAAAGTGAGAAGATGATTTTATATCTCTTTTTCTTTGCCTGCAGTAGACTGCGTTTGTCTTGCACTAAATGAATGTTTCCACTTTGCCATCTTTTTAACTTTTGCTTTGCATGACTGAGCTATGAATTGTTTGAGTAAAACTTCTTGTGCCTTCTAGAACTGGAAGTCATATTTTATAGATTAAATTGTGATAATGTTTTTACTTGAATTTTTATAAGAGATTTATATCTCTTAGTTGGACATTAATTTATAATTTGAGATCTCTAGTAAAAACATTTGAGATACTCTGAAAACATTTTTATGAAAAGATTTTGGTGGAAAGGATATGCTTCTTCAAGATTTGTTAATTAGAAGCAATATTTGGGGAAAATTTTACTGTAGTTGAGAAAAATTGATTAGGTTTCAATTATTCTATGTACCTATTGAAATAATTTGAATACAAAATCTGTTCATGAAGGCCATTCAAAGCTCAGTAATTTGGGCATAATATTAAAAGGTAAGTGTGAACCTTAATTATTTAATTTTTGCAGATAACTGATTTTAAAAGTTAAATTTATTATATGTATTTATTTCAGGAATTCATTTTTTTTCTAACTCTAAATAAAAAGAAAAATAATGGGTTCACAGACCTTTAAGTAATTTGCCTTCTGTTTGTTTTATGTTGCATGACCTATTGTAATATGGTCTAAGAGTGGCAGGTAAGTGTCATTGACCTCTGTGCATGTTGAAAAGCTTTTGCTTTTTTGGCTGTCAGTATTGCTTTAGCTTGTCTGGTTGTCAAATTGGGAACAATGATATTCAATTGGTGTTTTAGTGTGAATGTTGCTATTTTAACTGATCATTAGAAAATTGTTAGGAAAGGGTGAAGAGCCTTTAGGTTATAAATCACGTTACCACTTGCATTTTCATCTGAGATTAAAACATTTGAACAGATTTTTACATATTTAAGACATTTTATGAGTTTTAAAACAAATCCCTTAAAATAAATCCCCCCAGAGATGTTGCATTTTTTCCATCAACTTCAGTTTATGTGATATTATACAGTTTATCCTATTTTATGAATAATTTGTATTTTTTTCTTTAAATAAGGACAGATCATATGAGCACATTAATTTATAGTTTGTCTCCATTTGATGGGGCAGTCTGTGGTCTCTGATATTTTTCCACTTTTATTACATTCCTATTGATGTTTCATACTGACAGTTTGCATACTCTGCAGGCTAGTGAAGAGTAGTAATGTCAACATCAGGACCATATTGTTTGGTTTTTAGGGAACGATGTTATTGAATGTTAGTTTTCTTGACCCTTCTCAACAATTTAACAATGCTATTTTAAATGCATGTTTAGCATGAATTTTAATCAGCTTGGGGATATTGAGCAGTTTGCTGATTTGAGGATTATTCTTTCAGATGAGGCAGCTTACATTAGAGCTGTATTTTAGTTTACTTGCATCTGTTTCAAACTTGCTGTTGTATATTTTTCTGCTATTCTGTCTCCTTTTTATCTTTGTCTCAAGTTCCTTACATTTGCAGAATCTTGGCTTTGATACAGTCAAGATCTTGTTCAAGACTTGGCACTTGATCTTTTTAAAAACCTAGCATTATGTTGTGGTCAAGTGAGAAGCATGAATTTACTGTAGTTTTCAAAATATTATTTGATCTTGGTTTTCTAATCTGTGGGGGTTTGGATCATTATCCTTAAGTTTTAAATAGCTAATGTAGTAGCAGAAAAAGGTTAAGATTAGTAACAAGAATAACCAACAATGAAGAACTACATATAAAGTGTTAACTTCCTAAAGGCAGATATAAATTAAGTATTTGTTGCTTATATCAGCCAATGTAAAACTTTTGACTTACTGGTAACCTGTAAATGAAATGTAGTGAAAACAGACTGCAAACTAGGTCAGTTTGTCCCTGTTAATTCTTAGTTACATTTTGTAAATATGTTTTCTTTTGAATCTAATTCAGAGTTGTCTTATTCAGTTTTATCTCTCATCCATTTGCATATTTATCTTCTTTTTGGAAATGTGCATTTGTAAAAGTGTATTTTATCATTCAGCTACTATAGTGACCCCTTGAAACTTCCTTTCTTTTTAACTGTTTTATACCAGATTCAAAATAGCAGTTAATTTGCCAGTTCATAGGTTGATGAGAATAAAGTCATATTCTGTTATTAAACAGTGTTTAATACATTATTTATTTCTAGATAAACTGTAATATTTAGGTTACCAGAATAATTTAGCTTTACTCGTCATCATTCTAATTGGTTAAGCCTACCTAGTTCAGTGCATCTCCATGGTTGGGCAGCTATAGAAACAATACCATACAGACAGATATATTGGCATTTTGCATCAAACTGTATAAAAAATTAACTATTCTAGTAATTTTGAACTATGATTTAATGGACCCCTATATTTTACAAAATGAAGACTGTCTTTAAAGTACATCATTATCCCTTAATATATGTGCTTGCACACACACAGTTTACAGCTTGCCTCGTGTGTGCCAGCCAGTAGATACTGGGGATGCCAAGATAACTAACAAACAACCCTCACCTTTGGGGAGTTCTCAATCCAGTAGAATAGATAGAAATGCAAGCTAATTATTTACATCATTCAAAGTATATAGGTCAGGAAAGGGATTAACTTTACCTGTGAGTGGATTGGACATGATGGAAGAATTCCTGACGGTGATATTAGAGTTGGGTTGTGAAGGGTGATAAGAATGTTTCATGCTAATTTAGTGCAGGATGCTGTGGAGAAAAAGGAACAACATGTTTTTTTTAAAAAAAGCCTTGAGGCATGAAATGACATTCTGTGTTCAGTGAAGTGTATTATCTACTCGAGGTACTAGAAAGAGGGTCTTTTTCTTAAAACAAATTATCCTTATATGATTTTGTTTTAAGAATAGTGGTTTAATTAATATGTAGAGTTGCCCCATAAAATTTGGTGGCAGTTATGCTAATGACAGCATATTAAAAGCACTGAATTGGGGCCTGTACAGTCTCTTCTAGTTCTTGAAATTTCTTATTTTATGATGACATTGTTAATTTATAGCTCATTCTAATGACAGATCTTTAGCCTGAGTAACTACTTTGTGTATTAGCTCACGCAGTTGTCTCTTGCGAGAAGAGGGACTTTTATGTCCCTTCCCAACCTTAGCAAGGTGCTTCATAATCACAGAAGTTCAATATTCATTAGTTAACCTTGATTTGTGTAATTCCAGGTAGACCAAATAGGAGAGTAAATATAGGTGGTTATTTGTGAGAAATAGACACTTACTTTCTCTAGTTCTTTGTTATAGAGCCTTTCCACTTAGTCATACTTTTCTTCGAATTCTTGTGTCTTTTGTGTTTCCTGTTCTCCTCTCCCCCCAGTCAAAAAAAAATTTGATAGTACCCACTCTCTTAGTCTTTTGTTTTTCCATTTTACCTTTTATATATTTTCAGTTGCTTTTGCCCTGTACTTTGAAATTTCTGATGGCATTTTGTTATATTTATTTTTCTAAAATGATGTAGGGTTATATTTGTTTAGATGTAAAAATGCATAATAGCCTTCCTTAACACATGCTAGAGGCATATTTATAAATTTATACCTTCTCATTCATTCAACAATTATTTATTATTAAAAATCTACTAGGTACTAAGTTTATATACTGAAAAGTGGTATGTACTGTACATACTCTGCCTCAGTGGGATTATAAATATTTATTGTATGAATGAATGAGATTAAAGCAGAAAGACCTCTTATCACAGTTACAATTTTTATGTGACAATTTTTTTTTCCTTTTGTAGCTCATCTTTGCCTCTGTACCATAACAACTTCAACTTTAGCAGTTACTTTCAGTGACTCTTCAGTAGGAAACTGGTGTGAAATTATTAAAATAATTTTATCTTCAAATAGTAAGAGCAACTGAAACATGCTTTAATTTCCCTTGAACAGCTTTTAAAACTAAGCTTGATGAGTAATTACTATGCCTACTCTCGGTAGTAGATAACATTTTGCAATCAAATGAATGTCCTTTTGTTAATTGGCTAAGCTTATGATATGTTTTTCCTCAAGTAATTAAATTTTTCATTTTTTGCTATGAGAAATCAAAGTGACAAGTCTTGGCTGATCCTATTTTGGGGAAAAATGCTTTATTTTATACAGTCCTTTCCCCTCCCGAGTATTTCACCCTCTTGCATGACTTGCTGTCAGTAAAGTAGTGCTTACCTGTCTGCTCTTTTCTGTTTGTCTTCATTTCTACAGCAGTCTTCAGCAGCTTTCAAAATTATAAATGTGACTTTCCTGTGACAGTCTAAAAAAAGGTTTAATCAGTGTGGTGCTGGGTATTTTTTCCACCCTTAAGGGAAACTAGAATCTTCTCCTTTATTTTTAAATTTCTTGGTACTTATTAAACCTTTAATAATGATTAACCACTTCCAAGGTCTATTTAAATCTCCTTGATAATATTTCTTTTGTATATAATTCTCAGTGTCATATTTTTCTGTTAATAGCTAGTTACCATACCCAAAATACATAGCTTAGTGTTTTCAAACTTCACAAATATCTTTTAATATATAATAATCAAAATATTGTCCTTTGTCATGAATTCCCACTTCATGAATTCAAACTATGATACGTGTCTCTTATTGATGTTATGTCTGTAGTTTCATAATTTCATATGGAAAGTATAAAACTGCTGTTTTTTGCATGTAAAATTTTTCTCTACTGCATCTGGTGTAAGTATAAAAAGTTATAACTGAGGTGTACTTTTTTTTAGTGTGTGTCTAATTATGAGTGGATAATATGGTCTGGCTAAATGAAAAAATATTACTGCTAAATGACAAACTTTGATTTTTAAAAAATCATTTAGCTATAATATCAGTATTTACTCCTAGTAATACCTTTATAGCTTCAGACACAGAGTCTTTTAAATTTTTCAGTTGACTCCTCTTGTGTAATTTGTCATAGCAGTTTCTTTAAAAAAAATACATGATTTCTGAAAGGAGATTTTTAAAATAAGGAAACAGACTTGAGAACACAAATTCTTAAGTTGGCTTTGCATGTGAATGTTACTCTTACTGTTGCTGTAGTACTGTCTTAAGTATGTTGAAATTAAAGTTTGCTACTGTGATTGTTGGTTTAAGATATATTTTTGACTAGTTGGTGAGTTTAATAAATGAATTGAATTATGACTTGCCTTAAGCACAAAGTAAAGTTCCAGGTTTTAGGCACCTGGACTCCTAGTTTCGTGTGTGAACTAAGTTTTTAAAAAAATTTTAAGGAAAGGAATAAACAGATCTTTGTATATTTATGGGGAGGTGGAGTATGTGCAGAAAAGTCTAGGTTCTAGTATTATATGATTGGTAAATGATATTTATGAGAAATGTTCTTAATTCATATTATAAATTTGGTCTGCCTCCCCTACCCTCCAGAGTATAAGAGAAAATTTTAACATGGAGGAATTCTGACACCACAATTGCTCTCTAAAACATTATGGTAATCATAATGTTTATTATTTTAAGTGCTTTTTGCCTTGTCTGTAGTCTTGAATATAGTCTAGTTGGAAAGATTTATGAAAAACTCAGATTCCTCAAGAACATCTATTTCCTTCATTTCCGCCTACCAAAAATCAAATGTATTGAATAAAAAAGACTTATCCTTAGCGAAACAAATGACCAGGGTATTAAAAACAGGATTTTTGTCACCTCAAGCCTTAACAGAGAAATCCAGAATTACTCATCTATTAAAACTTATGTTTTGTGGCTAATGCCGCACACGGTGGAAGTGCCCATATGTTTGTGTTCCTAACTATGCTTTTTATAATTCCCCCTTCATTATTCTTCTCACTCATTCCCAAGTATATAGAAACTCAGTTTTTGCGTTAGTATTTCAAAATTTCAGTGATAATATCGTGTCTTTAAGTATCTAGTTTTTAGTAGCCTAGTAATTCTGGAGCCCTTTCATAACTCAAACTCCTCTGCATAGTAATCTGCACCTTTTGTTCATCAGCAGAGAAGTTCACTGGTCAGTGTATAAAGTGGTTTTTAGAACCACTAAAGTCTTTTTTTCTTAGTTTCTAACTTTTTATATCAAAACTCAGTCATTAAAGTGAACTTTATTTTAAAGGAAAGTAGTTTATGTCTTAAACTGTAGATGAGCCAGGTACATTAGTTAGTCTTTCATTTCTATTGAGTTAAATAGATGGTTACTCATGCATTTTCAGTCATTACTGTTAGTGGTGAGTATAGCAGAAACAAGTGAGTATACACTGACAATTAAAATTTTTGAGTTATAACTCTCATTTGTTTAATATAACACGTCATGATTTGTAACTCGAATAGTGATGTTTGGTGTTCCCTTGCTTCTCTATGATATTTACCAACTTGAGGCTAGTTATTCAAATATAGAACTTTGTAAAAATGGTCAGTCTTTTATAAGAAGTGTGAAGTTAGCATTGGAAAAAATGTTAAGTCAAACCAACTTTTTAGACTATTTATTTTTGGATTATTTAATACTTGAGTTATTATACATGTACTTAAAAAAATCATGTGACTGTAAATTTTCTTGTGCTTTCCTGCTATTTAGATGCCCAGCCGACAGAGTCTGAGAAGGAGATTTATAACCAGGTGAATGTGGTTCTAAAAGATGCAGAAGGCATCCTGGAGGACTTGCAGTCGTATAGAGGAGCTGGCCATGAAATACGGGAGGTGAAAATTACTGTCCCTCTTTTTAATCTCTTTTGTTTCCTGTATTGTCTATTTGCATAGTCAGAGTTATTTAAAGGAAGATCACTTGCATTATTTCAGAAGAGGTTGCAGTGATAGAAGGGTAAACAGAAAACAGGATTCTAAACTATGTAATTTATATATATTAAAGAGAATTCTTTTGGCTTACTCTCATACCTGAAATTTACAGTATCCATGGGTGTGCTGTTCATACTGTTTTTGGAAGGGAGAACATTGAGCATTCTATGGATTTTCTATTCTGCCAGTCTGTCTTTCTCCTCCTAAGCTTCCTAGGAGAAAGCCAAGACCATCTTTGTGGTCTGGACCCCCTCAACTGTGTCTGATGCCGCCAGAGAGCCAAGTGTATGGTGTGGTCTTCCTCAGCTTTCTTCTCCCAAACCTCTGAACTTATCCAGGTTTTCATCCATCTGTTTTTCTATTCCTTCTGTTTTATTTTTTTTCCTCCAGAAGAAGCTGTGTGCCTACTTCTTACCAAGACTAACTTCTCTACCCTCCTCTGAAACTTTACTCTTTTAATTTCCTTCTCTTAATTGCATCTTTTTCTTTTACTGAGTTCTTCCCAACATGTGCACACATACACTCGGGTGTCCCATACTGCCCAAAGAAACTTCCTGGCCTCTGGTCTCTTTTCTCATTGTAGTTTTTGAAGGCATAGCTCACACTTTGTCGTTTCAGTTTCTCCTGACCTTCTGCTCCTGCGCTTCTCACCTCTCCTAACTGGACTGCTCGTTTCCGGAACGTCTTGCACATGTACAGTTCCTTGCCTTTGTTTTTGTCTGGAACTTGGCACTTCTTTTTTTCTTTTCCTGCTCAGTTCCTATCCTTCCTTCAAATCCCAGTAATCTTCTACTTCCCTGTACTCTTTTGCCATGGCACTTTGCACATTTTTTTTTTTTTTATGGTAGCCACCACTTTTTTAAAAAATCACTGAGATATGATGTCTATTTCTTCAGCCTTCTAGCTTGAGGAAGGTTTCTTTCTTATTTTTGTTTTACCAGCACCTAGTATAGTGCTTGGTAAGCAGTTAGTAACTATTGAAGAATAAATGCAAGAAGACTAATCTTGCCATTAGCATTGGCTTGAGTTAAAAACCTTACGATTTCAGTAAATGAAGGCATGTAACCATTTCTGTGAATTTCAAGTTTTCTAAACATATCAAAGCTGAGTAAAATCAAATGTAAAAAGAACAAATGTGACTACTGAGACTGTCATAGGTCAGTGTGAAGACTTAACTGACTTAGTAGAACAACCATTCTACCTTTTGAGAAGGCACATGATAGAATAACAAAGTGGTTAAAGTTTAATGGAGGTTGGTTTATGAAGAAACAGGTTTTTTTTTTGTTTTGTTTTTTTTAAAAAAATGGTCTTAATCAATGCACGTGGCATTATAGAATCATTGTCTTTTTGGAGGTCAGTTTGACAAGGTGTAAAATCAGATCTATAAAATTATATGTACTCTTCTGTCAGATACTTAATTTTAGAAAACACTCTCCAGAAGGCTATCATTCAAGGGGGAGGTGAATGTAAAAATCTTTATGGATGCCTTATTCATCGTAGCAAAAATTTGGAAGCAATTCATAGAGTTGTTTTGAGGATAGAGTTAGATAATCTATCAGAAGAGACATGTAGAAGCTGACACAGAGAAGATAGACTTCGAGTTTACTGTTATTACTATGCTAATGATGTGAATTATACATATATATATATTTGTTTAAATAGCGCTTTATTAAACACAACTCTAAAGGAGAATAAAATTTGATTTAAGATAGAATCTAGGGACTTCCCTGGTGGTCCAGTGGCTAAGACTCTGCTTCCAGTGCAGGGGGCCTGGGTATGATCCCTGGTCAGGGAACTGGATCCCACATACCACAGCTAAGAGCAAAGATCCCGTGTGCTGCAGCTAACACCCAACACAGTCAAATAAATAAATAAGATAATTAAAAAAAAAAAAGAATCTATTAAATAAAGCTTATTCTCTGGAATAAACCACTAGAGAGGGAAATAAGAACTTTCTGCTAATGTTTTGGTATATCAAACATTTTAACACTTTTGAAAATAAGTTACAGTGCCTGCTCCATGACAGCCTCCCCTGCTCCTGTGCCTCTCACCTCTCCTACACTGGACTGCTCGTTTCCGGAACGTCTTGCACATGTACAGTTCCTTGCCTTTGTTTTTGTCTGGAACATGGCACTTCTTTTCTTCTTTTCCTGCTCAGTTCCTAGCCTTCCTTCAAATCCCAATAATCTATTTCCCTGTACTCTTTTGCCATAGCACTTTGCATGTTATTTTTTTTTAATGGTGGCCATCGCTTTTTTTTTTTAAAAAGGCTTGACATCTCACTAAGTGCCCCTTTTCACATTGGACTATGATATAGGTGCTATGTCAAAGTGTTCTCTGACAGCAGTGGAACTGATCTCAGAGGAGAGTCACAAGTATAAGGAGAACCATAAACAGTTGTCGTAGAAGAGCAACCAATGTCTTCGGTTATAAATCCAGGCAAGGCACACCCAGGGAAATAGTTAACTCTGTTCATTCTTAACAGTGGGTGACATTTGCTGGAGCATTTTAATATTATGTGAATGAGTTGGTATTTAGAAAATTGTGTTTAAATTCTTACAAGAGAGATTGGATAGGCTTCTGAAGAGAAGAAAATACATTTTAAATTTTTATCTGTTTGCTTATTCCCCAAATAATAAAATGAACAAATTTTTACTACTAGATATAAAACTATTGAGATTTGGCTTAAAGACTAAAAGGATTGTTTCGTGCACATCAGAATAATACCACAGCCCTTTTGAAATAGTCATATTAACATAATGTGAAATAAGGATTGTTACATGTTGTAAAGTCCAGTTTTCTTTAACATAGCATTATTTCTAAATAGTCATATAAGTGAGATTCATTTCAGACTCCTATTTATTTCTGTAAAAAAGCTTATAAAGCAGTTTGCTTAAACAATGTATATAGCCCCCTTATTTAGCTTGTCACTAATTTATCTGAAAGTGAAAGTGAAGTCGTGTCTGATTCTTTGTGACCCGGTAGACTGTAGCCCACCAGGCCCCTTCGTCCATGGGATTCTTCAGGAAAGAATACTGGAGTGGGTTGCCATTTCCTTCTCCAGGGGATCTTCTGGCCCAGGGATCGAATCCAGGTCCTCCTGCATTGCAGGCAGACGCTTTAACCTCTGAGCCACCAGGGAAGCCCTGAAGCATCTTCTAAATCTATCTAGTTTCAGTTTTATTTGTTTCCTTCTGGTTTTGTATGGATGGAGTCAGAGTACTAGTGTCTTGGGAAAATCTGAATGTGCCATTATCTTCTGATGATGTTGTAAACAGGTGCTTCACCTTTCAGATGGAATGTTTAGCTCATGTGAAGATGTTAGAAAAAGCAGACCAGACTTTTATGGACAAAAAGTGAAGAAAAGCATCTGTAAGCGAAAGGAAGATGAAATCAATAATATACATTTCTTTGGGAATAGCCCTCTGTGCTTACAAATGATTGCCCAATGACTTGGAAGACTGGGCAGAGAAAGAGCATATTCATATTTATAACAGAGTCTCCAGATTATGTTTTATTTTCTCCCCTTTAACATTAGAAACTTTTTCCCCTTCTTCAAGAAAACCTAAAAAAATTTAGATTCCAGAATAGGATTTTAGTTATAGGGAAGGGATAAGTGACAATTTTTAAATCATATTTTCAGGTTGATTTAGGTTCTTTGGTGTTTGATACCTTTTTTAAAGCTAGGTTGGGCCTTGGAATTTGAATTATTGAGCATTTATTAGCCTTTTCCCCAGAATGGGTCTTATTTATCACCTGCCTTTTTTGTTCCTTTTATTCCACTAAAACAGTTCTTAAAGAATTTCTAAGAAAGCTTGTCTGTGATGTGGGAAACAATATAAAATGGTATCTTTATTTGGTTCTAAATTTGAGAGTCTAAATTTTAGATTCTAACAGGTATCAAGGCATAATATACCTGACAAACATACATTGTGTTATTTTTTATTCTCTTCTATCCATATCCATTGCAAGGGTGATGAAAACTATTATACTAGGTTTAAAGTACCCCTGGAGTTGAGAAGGCCAGTTTCAGCTCTCCTGGATCCATTATACTGAGTTTCATAGACTATACCAGGATTCCCTGTGTTTGCCAAAACCTATATTTTAATGTAAAAATAATACTGTTATGATTGTGTAATAAATCTTGATTATTTTTATTCTTTGGACTTTGAAGGCGATCCAGCACCCAGCAGACGAGAAGCTGCAAGAGAAGGCGTGGGGTGCAGTTGTCCCACTAGTAGGCAAACTAAAGAAATTCTATGAATTTTCTCAGAGGTTAGGTAAGTGGGAAGTGTTATCATTACGGCCTCCTCAGTGAAAAAGGGAGTCAATGATACTGGAAGCTATTGACAAGATTTCATGCTCACACTGCTAAATGTATATGTCTCATAGGTAAAGCAGCTTGGTAGACTATAAGATTATAGCTTAATGTTGCTGTCTTCCTGTTCAGCTAGGTCTTTTAAATTATTTAGACCATTTTTCTCAACAAATTGAAACTTCTATAAGAAGATTTCTGATTTTTTGCAGCTTAAAGTGTCCTATTGTGAGAACTGCTGCTAGAATTCCTTTCCAGCTCTGGAGCAAATCCTTTCCCATGTGTGGGAACTAATCCTCAGTCTCCTCGGTGATTTAGATTTTTGTGTTCCTAAGATCGATCAGATCCACGTAGCTAAAACTGTACACGATGAGAACAAGGAAGCTAATGGTATATGTGAAATTACCAAGGGAGTTATTAAGTAAAAAGAATTCGGAACCGTATGGTTTTTCCCTTGTATGGGAGAAATTATTCTAAGATCAGAATTGTGCCTTTAATACAGTGGATAAGTAGAATTGGAGTTCTTTTCCTTGAAGAAGGAAGAGACACCAGGTGAGATTTAGCCATTTAGCTGCTTGTGCACATGGAAGAGCTTTTACTTTGTGAAGTTGGGAGCATGGGGTGGGAACTGGTGTAGATTGTGTCAGAAGTTTGAAACATTTCAGTTTAAGTTTTTGACATGTGTTTATTATATAGTTTAACTTTTTGAATCATATAAATATGTTATATATCCTAAATGAGTACATACAATTTAATAAGAAAACTAGTACTGTAAGATAGATGCCGGATGTTCAGTTGCTCAGTCGTGTCCCACTCTTTGTGACCTCATGGACTGCAGCACGCCAGGCTTCCCTGTACATCACCATCTCCTGGAGTTTGCTCAGAATCACCTCCATTGAGTTGGTGATACCACTTGGGGGCTTATAAGCTAAATTTAGACCTGAGATATGATTTGTTTTGCTCACGTGGTGGTTTTAAAAATTCCTAGTTGCCACGTTTTAAAATTGGTAATTGTTGTGTTTTGTGTGTATGTGTCTTAAGTCTTTGGTTGCTTTGGAAAAAATCAGTAGCTTAGGCAGCAATTAATCAATTGATCTTTCCTCTCCGTTGGCGAAGCTTAAGTGGCAAACCGACTGTGTCCATTAGTTAAGGAGTGTGCTTTCTAGTTGCAGTGGGTCCCTACTGCATCCTGGTTTTTTATATCTTGCTCTCATTGTCTTTAAGTAAACTACTTGGCCATTTGTGTCAATCTCTACTTCAAAGTTGATATTTTGTTTTTTTTGTTTTTTTTTTAATGTTCGTATTTTTTAAAAAGTAAGAGAATTGCTATTTTTCCTTAGATGCAATACACGCTGTCAAATGCAAAAACAAGTAATAGTTGAGATAGAAGCGTTTTGTGTAAATTATCCTTGTCTTACTAGAAGTAAGAATTATAACTTCTTCTTATAACTAGAAGTAAGAATTATTATGTATAATAAAATAAAAATTATAATTATTTTCCTCAAGCATAGCTAATAGTTCTTTCAGTCAAGTATCTTATGTAATCCATAGCTTTGTAACCTCAGGGGGCCTAGGTGTTTTTCTCTTGGTTATCTTCACTACTACTTTAAATAAGTAGTTCTACTTAGTAGTAGTATCACTACTACTTTAAATAAGAGTTTTTTCTGTGTTGCTAGTTCCCAACTGCTTTTGAAGTTAAAATGCTTTTGATGCTGCATAGATCCTTCTCACATTCATATTGGTCTCTCAGCATTTGCCAATTAAAAAAAAAGAATAATTATAAAATAGGTCAAACCGGGCAGGCTTACACGTTGATATTTTAACTACTTGAATTACATCAGGTGAGCTGTGTGTGTTTTGGCACAGGTACTGTGTTCCATCTCACCAGAGGTTGTAGTAACACAGGTAGTAGCAGAAAGCTCTCGGGTTTTCATTCTGTCCTGTGGAAGCCTTGAACCTTCGTTGTATAGGCTAGGACTTCTGTAACGGTGTGAACAAAGGACACATTTAAGAGCTGGGGGTTTACTCCTCATCTCCTGGCTGGTAACGCGGTTCATGTTTCCAGTTTCCTTGCTGACAGGATGCATAGCCTTGCTTGCGTGTGATAGGAACTCAGTGTTGAACGAATGAGCGAGTGATGGATTAATGAATACATGCATCTGATATATCAAATATTTGTTAAGTATTTAGGGGAAGCAATAATAATAGATTTTAGGCTTTCAAGGCCTAATAGCCTGTGTTTGAATTCTGGTGTTGGTAGTTATTAGCTGTGTGCTCTTGGCTCCATCATTTAAATTCTGTGAGCTTCAGTGTCCTACTTGGACCTCCAGTGAGCTGAGCCCTCTGCTTTAAGTGCACTTAACCTCTGTTGTCTCTTTTCCTCCTCGCTGTTGAGCCAGTTCAGTTCAGTCGCTCAGTCGTGTCCGACTCTTTGCGACCCCATGAATCGCAGCAAGCCAGGCCTCCCTGTCTATCACCAACTCCTGGAGTTTACTCAAACTCATGTCCATCAAGTTGGTGATGCCATCCAGCTATCTCATCCTCTGTCGTCCCCTTCTCCTCCTGCCCCCAATCCCTTCCAGCATCAGTATCTTTTCCAATGAGTCAACTCTTTGCATGAGGTGGCCAAAGTATTGGAGTTTCAGCATCAATCCTTCCAATGAACACCCAGGACTGATCTCCTTTAGGATGGACTAATTGGATCTCTTTGCAGTCCAAGGGTCTCTCGTCTTCTCCAGCACCACAGTTCAAAAGCATCAATTCTTCGCCACTCAGCTTTCTCTATAGTCCAACTCTCACATCCATACATGACTATTGGAAAAACCATAGCTTTGACTAGACGGACCTTTGTTGGCAAAGTAATGTCTCTGCTTTTTAATATGCTGTCTAGGTTGGTCATAACTTTTCTTTGAAGGAGCAAGCGTCTTTTAATTTCATGGCTGCAGTCACCATCTGCAGTGATTTCAGAGCCCAAGAAAATAAAGTCTGTTACTGTTTCCACTGTTTCCCCATCCATTTGCCATGAAGTGATGGGACCAGATGCCATGATCTTAGTTTTCTGAATGTTGAGTTTTAAGCCAACTTTTCACTCTCCTCTTTCACCTTCATCAAGAGGCTCTTCAGTTCTTCTTTGCTTTCTGCCATAAGAGTGGTGTCATCTGCATATCTGATGTTACTGGTATTTCTCCTGGCAGTCTTGATTCCAGCTTGTGCTTCATCCAGCCCAGCATTTCTCATGATATACTCTGCATATAAGTTAAGCAGGGTGACAACATACAGCCTTGACGTAGTCCTTTTCCTGTTTGGAACCAGTCTGTTGTTCCATGTCCAGTTGTAACTGTTGCTTCCTGACCTGCATATAGGTTTCTCAAGAGGCAGGTCAGGTGGTCTGGTATTCCCATCTCTTTCAGAATTTTCCACAGTTTGTTGTGATCCACACAAAGGCTTTGGCATAGGCAACAAAGCAGAAGAAGATGTTCTTGTGGAACTCTCTTGCTTTTTCGATGATCCAGTGGATGTTGGCAATTTGATCTCTGGTTCCTCTGCCTTTTCTAAAACCAGCTTGAACATCTGGAAGTTCACGGTTCACATATTGCTGAAGCCTGGCTTGGAGAATTTTGAGCATTACTTTACTAGCGTGTGAGATGAGTGCAATTGTGCAGTAGTTTGAGCATTCTTTGACATTGCCTCTCTTTGGGCCAGAGATGAGGATGAACACCGCACACAGAACACGGAGCAGCACACAAACTGTGAATATGCTTGTGGTCCTTCAGAATTTCAAAGAGGAGGTCGCTTGGCTTGAGCACTACGGATCCGCCATGGGGTGGACTCCAGGAGAGGGACCACTTGACTAATTCGGAAGATACTGAGCTTTGCCAACATGGTTTAACCTCGCTGACCTACGAAACATCCTGTACTTGCTTGTTTCAGTCAGAGGCCTTCCCAATTGAGGCAGCTATCTAAGGGAACATTGTGTGTCCAGACAGTACACAAGCTGCTTTGTGTCTCCTTGGTCTTCGTCCTGTCCAAGGGGCTTAGAGCGGCCACCTCCAGGGATCGTAGTGCGTGAGTCTGTCCACCATGGTGACCCCTCTTCAGTGGGTTAATTCACCAAAACCTGTTCAGAAGGTTCTGAAGTGCCCACAGTAATGGTGGTCATCTCTCTTGGGTGTTTCAGATCCCCTGCAGTCCATATCCTTTGGGTTCTCTCCTGAGGATTCAGATTGGTCTTTGATAGTCGATGGCTGGCAGTCGGTAAGAGAATATATGGCTCTGGTCTTTGAAGGAGCCTCCTCTTCCTAGTCATGCCTTGTTCCCCCTTCTGGATCTACTTTGTGGCCTGATCTGTCATTATTTCTCTACTCGATAAGCCATCCATACTCCCACAGTCCGTTCTCCATGCTGCAGATGAAGTGGAGTTTAATTTTTTATCATTTGTTAATTTTTGGCTGGGCCTTTGGTCCTGCTTGAGAGCTTTCTTTGGTTGCAGTGCCGGGGGCTTCTCGTTGCAGTGGCTTCTCTTGTGTAGCACAGGCCATGTGTGCCCAGGCTCAAAGCCTGTGGCTCGCAGGCTTCGTTGCCTGCAGCATGTGGAATCTTCCTGGACCAGGGATTGAACCGGAGTCCCTTGCATTGGCAGGCAGGTTCTTAACCACTGGACCACTAGGGAAGTCTGAAGGGGAGTTGAAATGCTGATCTGATGGTGTCACCACCCTGCTTAGTCTCTGTAGGGACACTAAAGTGACAAGGCCAGCGTGCTTCGTGTGGCACACAGATAGGTGTGTGGTTTTAGTCTCAGCCTTCTCTCCGTCTTGCTTCTCTTACACCTGCGTTGCTGTCTTGCAGTTTGTCTCCTCGGTCATGCTCCTCTCAGCTCAGGATTGGGCTCCCTGCCCTCTCTATTTGCAGACTCTTGCTCATTCTTAGGGCACGGCCCAATCTCGGTTCAGGTGTCATGTATTCAGGCAGGTCTTTCCCTGAGTCTGCAGCTGGGCGAAGCTCCAGTTTTATACCTTTCCACGGTACCATACCCTTCTAAGTACATATCCCAGCTGTAGTAAGTTGTCTTCTATCTGTGTGATTAGTCTCTGTGTGAGCATAGGGTGTGTCCATCTTCATCTGTTTACCCGCTGCCTGACACGTATGAGACCATCAATACGTTTTTTAACTTACTATTAAAAAAGGATGATAACTATCATTTGAAGTTACTGTGTGGATTACAAATAGTGTCTAGCTCAGTACCTGTCTCATAATAGACGCATAAAGAGTACTTACTCTTGGTACTAATCAATAATTTAATCTTTTATAAGGTTATGGAAGGCTAGTTAGAATGTCATTTTATATGAGAAACAGCTTATTATGGTGGAAATAATAGGGCTGTGAAGTCAGAAGCACTTGGCATTTAAGAAATATACACTTGGGGGTCTGACCTCTTTGAAACTCAGTTTATCCATCTGTGATGCCCATGTCATAGTTGACAGTGAAAGTTAAATGACAATGCAAGTTAAAGCTGATGATATGACATAAATTTGTTTTCCTTAATAAATATCTTTATTAATCTAGCATATTTTCATAAATGGCAGACCACCATCTAACTTTATAAACTTTGTTTTCTCTGAATAAAATCTAGCCTTGTTGTATGATTGTGTAGTATGTAACAGTATTAGTTTGATTTCTGGGATTTTTTTGAAGCGAAATCAGTATTTCTGTATTTTTATTTTTTTTTTAGTATTTCCATTTTTAAACACAATATTAGTCTGGCATTCCAAAAGTAGCAGTTGTTTCAAGGGACGAAGAATATTTATATTATGGCCCTGAGATAGCAAGCTGTACAACACTTAGGAAGCTAATTATTAAACCACGTATTTGGTTTCTTTTCATAGCTGAAAGAACGTAGTTTGTGTTTATAAATAAACAGCACAGAGTATATGAAGTTGGTAATTCATTCATACCCACATATAGACATGACTGACCATAGTTTCACCAAAAAAGACATAGTCACAGTTGCCATTTCATAAAAATCAACACTGTGTAGAACGTGAAAATAATGTTGTAAGATTTGTCCTTTGATCCTAATATTTCATTCAGATTTAGATTCTTCATGATTCTGAATTTGGGTTTACAGAAATTGAGTTAGTCACTTCAGGATTTCTATTCTAGTAAACAGTACTCAGTTTGAGTGTTATGTTTAGATAATCTAACTTTTAAAGAAAGCTTATTTTTATGGAAATTGAAATAAAAACATTTTTAAAATGCTCACGTTTTAATAAATAGATACAAGCAACATCTTAACGTTTTGTTCTTTAGAAGCAGCGTTAAGAGGTCTTCTGGGAGCCTTGACAAGTACCCCGTATTCTCCCACCCAGCATCTAGAGCGAGAGCAGGCTCTTGCTAAACAGTTTGCAGAAATTCTTCATTTTACACTCCGGTTTGATGAACTCAAGGTAGGGTTGTCCTGCTGGTCCTCCTTGTTATGAAAATCATGCGTCTTTCAATGAGTACTAGGAGGAAATGCCTTGGAGTCCTTATTAAAATGTGGTGGAATGATGTCTGCTCTTCCCCAGCAAAAATGGAAAGCTGGATTTGAAAATTATGCAGGCTTTTTGGTGTAGCATAGCAAACAGCAAATTGCTCAGTATTCAGTTTTCATTTAACTTCATTTTAAAAAGCATCTCTGAAACAACAATATTGACATCTTCTAATATTTTTTCTTTTCTACTCATCCCCAGGTTTTTTTTTCCAGCATTCTTCTATTAATATATAAAAATGTTGATTTTTTTTTTTTTACTCTCTCCTACCCCTCTCCTTCTTTACCTTCTTTCCTTCTTCTGTCTTCTTTCTCACACCCTCCCCTTCCCCCCATCTACTTATAAACATCCTTTTTGCTAGAAGGAGTGCATTTAAAGAAAGAAGCATTAAATTCTGTATCAGGAGACCTTAATTCCACTTTAGGTTCTGTCATAGTAACTAATGATGAGGCAGGTCCTCTGACTTTCCAGTACCTCACGTACCTTGTTTAGAAAATGGAAGAGCTGGATTCCTAACTCCAGCATTTTATAAACATTATATCATAGACAGCTATTCCCCTTTATTCATACTTTGAACACAAATGGTTTGTTTATAAAATTTTAGTCTGTTTGACGACTGCCCTGTATATTAATTGTAATAACCCACAATAAGTGGCTACACATTCCCTTTTGTTTTTGTCTGTTTGGTAATACCATTTTTGGTGAGCAGCCTTTTCATATGTTACCTGAAATTAATGAGAAGAAAGAAGGACAGTGTACTGACTGTGACTGAAAACCAGTGTGCACAGTCTTCTGTGTCCATCATGAGACAGTTAGCAAATCAGTGTAGTAAGCACAGTGTTACATAATTTAAGTGCAGATTGTTACTTGGATGATAATGGTTTTAGTTCTTAAAGTGGTATTACAAATTCGAGAATGTAAATTAACTAATTACAACTCTAGTAGATACTTCATTTAATTTCTATACTATCCTTTAGTAAATAACTTTTTATTTCATAAATGTTTTCTGTAGATGACAAATCCTGCCATACAGAATGACTTCAGCTATTACAGAAGAACATTGAGTCGCATGAGGATTAATAATGTTCCAGTAAGTTAAAGTTTGAATTATGGTGTGATAATAATTCATATCTCGATTTGTTCAGTTTAATCTTTTATTCATTCATTTATTAACTCATTCATTCAGATAAAGCTAAAGATAGTAGTAAAGTTAATCATTATGGGCATCCACAGCTGTGGGAAGAAAGAGCAAAATGTAACAAACCATATGGGATTTACCACTTGGTTCTTTGTTCCACAGCTACTTCAGTAAAACTGCTTTTTGTCTGTATAACATTGATACAGAATTTCTCCTTGTTTTCTCATTTTAACTGCAGAAAAGTTTCGTGAATTAGTGGTTATCAGTTATTTGTTCCCATGTTCTTAGATTGGAAGATTCTTGGGGAGAGGCTGACCCAGGATAGGAATAGCACTAACCCTGGCAGGAAGGGGAGCGGGGTCTTGGACCCCAAGCACGTCTGTGTCTGACACCGCCATGTGAGAAGATGGCTCTGAGCCTGTTGCTCGGCTTGCGTAGCATCTCTTCTGGCTTGTAAGCCTCTTGAGGTCTCATTTTAAGCTGTTTCATGCTCTTTTTTCCTAGACATCAAATGCCACCTTAAGTGTGAGAAAAAGACTCTTTTTCTCTAGATATTTTTAGGACCTATAGTGTGCTAATCTGTATGAAAAACAGAAAATTTCTAGGATCATCCCTGGCCTCAAGTAGATAGTTTAGTGAAGAAATAACTATGTAAGTTTGTAAGGAGTGTCAAGTGGCATAAAAGGTTAAAAAAAACCCAAAGGATCATCAGAGACCAACACAACACTGTAGAGCAGTTGTCCTCCAGTTAAAAAACAAAACCAACGGAGGCCATTGAGTAAGTGTTTTATGAAGTCATTGCTCTTAAGACGGGCCTGGATCAGAAAGATTTCTTTTATTGAAGCGCCTGTTAGATGTATTAGTTTGGTTTTGCATAAGCCAGTTTATTCTGTGAGGCTGACCTTATTGTCTGTCTTCTTCATACTATGTAAAATAAAACGATCCAATTTTCTGTTGTAGCCATCCTGCTATCATTCAAGACCAGAGGCACTGAGATCATCTTTGTAGTGCCCTTGGCTCTCAGTCATTAATTATAGGTCACTTCAGTTGCTGTCAAGTGCCATTTTTCTCAAATTTCCTCACTGCCCCCCTTCCCATCTCTTAGTACTTCTGTCCAAGTTAAGAGCCTAATTCCCACTGTTTTTGGCAACTGTTCTTTAGCTGCAGAACTTATTTTCTGGCATACTGTCTCTTTCTTTTTGGTACAGTCTGCCGTCAATAATTAACTTTGTTTTGAAGATGGGCTAAATTGTTACTCCTTTCTTCTAATGCTAAGTGGCTTCCCATTACCTTCAGAAGAAAAATATGACCTGAAGCTAAGATTTAGTCTGACCCCAGCTTTCCCTTCCAGCTTTCTTTCACTGGTTGCTGTCCCTTACTACAACTGACCTATTTGATTTACACTCTGCCAAGTCATTTGAAAGCATGTTCTGCCCCCTGACTGGTTGAAATGTCCAGTGTACCTGCTCATCAACATCTGCCAAAGCCTAGCCCTTCCATGCATCTGTTTAGTTCCTTCCAGTCTTGGTCCTCCTCTCATCCCCCACTTCATTCCTCATCTCTTAGCATGTTACTAAGATAAGCTATGTGGATACTTGCTTCCTCCTAATAGCGTGTGATGTCATAGTCATCTTTCTGTCCTCTGGCATTTAGATGGTCTCTTGTATACAGCAGGCAGCCCATTCAAGTTTCATTTCATGGTTTAATATCATTTAAAATATTTTTTTAAAAGTTAAACTTTAAAAAAATTTCTTTATATTTTAATCTTTTTTCTTGTTAAAGGTAATGTAAGTGTTGTGTACATTTGAGGCTCTAAAATGTAAGCATATTTATTATTAATAGATTAGGAAGCATTAGATAGGCACCTTGCCTAGATCCTTTTATAATATTATTTTATTAATAACTTAGGAGCTGATATTAAGTGCCCTTATTTTCCACACAGGCAGAAGGAGAAAATGAAGTAAATAATGAATTGGCAAATCGAATGTCTTTGTTTTATGCTGAGGCAACCCCAATGCTGAAAACCTTAAGTGATGCTACAACGAAGTTTGTATCAGAGGTAGGCATTGCCTAGGAAGTTATTCTTTGTGTCATTCCTCTTCAGCCTGTGTCCAGATAGGATGGGCTCAGTGAGTCTGCTACAGATCCTCTAAGCTGATAGATGCACCTTGTGCACTGACTCTAGTCCTGTCCCCTGAGACCCACGTGTACACACCTGCCACCTATCGGCAGTCACCCTTAGGATGGATAGTCGACACCTCCATGGTCTGCTGACCACAGTGAGGTCTTGACACTGTACAAGCAGATAACTTAAGGGGTTTCATCCCCAGTTCCTTTCTTTATCTCATCCCTACGTCCACTCCATCAGACAAGGCGTTATTGGTTATTGGTTCTCCTTATTAAAGTGTACCTGAGTCTGAGAGCTTGACCCTTTACCACCTCAAGCTACCTCTCTGGGGCACCCCACCTCTTCTTGCCTGGATTTCTGCATTCATGCTCTGACCCACTGTGGGCCTGTCTCCCGAGTGTAGCCAAGTAGTCTTAAGACCCAAACCACATTCCCTTTGTTCTTGGCGTAAAGGTTTCCGGTTTGGGAAGTTAAAGAGGGAGGGGGTCGCATGTATACCTATGGCTGACTCACGTTAATATATGGCAGAGGCCAAAAATACTGTGAAGCAGTTTTTCTTCAATTAAAAATAAATAAGTTTTGATGGGGGGAAAGGTCTCCAAGTGACTTCCCAGGGCCCTTAGGATCAAATCCACGTGTCGTGTGTCTCTTGGGGCATCGTCTGCATGTTGTGGCTATTCCCGCCCAGCTCTCAAATGTAAGGTTGAGAGATGGGAGGATCTCAGCTGTCTTGCTCCTAGCTGTGTCCTCAGAGCTTAGAACAGTACCTGAAATCTAGTGCATTTCTTTTTCTAGTGCATTTTTTAAAACAAAATTTAGAGGAGGAATCAGATTTTAAAGTTGATAATTTTTCATGTTATGCTAGGTTTTAAATTTTTCTTAAGTAAAAGCTCTTCATCACTCTTTTGTTCTCTGTACACTTTTACAGAATAAAAATTTACCAATAGAAAATACCACAGATTGTCTAAGCACCATGGCTAGCGTGTGCAGAGTCATGCTTGAAACACCGTGAGTATTTGCTAATGTTTTTCACTTGAACAGTCCTGTTGAAATGATTGACAAAGTTATGAATATGGCATATTTGGGAGGTGGAATTAAATATATCCCAAGTATATAATAAAATTAAAATAATTACACAGCTTAATGTAGGTTCTGGTTAAATGTATAAAGTACATTTGGTTTTCAGGTTCATCAGACCGTCAGATGCTTCAGAATAGGGTTACTGTGTGCTTTTGAGGGGATAGCTTTAAAGCTCGTCTGGTTATGCCTCTCAGATACTCTCTTTCCTTTTCAAAGAGCACTTTCCCTTTTTGCTAGAGGGCTAGAAATATTCTTAAACGCTATCCCTTCCTCTCAACATTAGTTATTAGTTCTCAGTCTTCTTTTTTCTCCCTGACACTAACCTAAATTCTTTCTGGGTTTCTCCTCTCTGTCAAACCATTTGTAACGTATACCACAATGTTTTCTGTCTGGATTTTCCTGTCAGCAGGCAGAAAGAATTTTTCCTATATTCCTGAATAGTATGATTTTATTATATAACTTTAGTTTTGTGGAGCTTTTTTCCCCCAAAACGATATTATATGCTCATCTTATTGGGAAACCTTTTGAAGTAAGAGAGCAACTGCTTAATCATCATAACGTCGTCATTCTCATCTAGGGGAGCAGGGTCCTAGGGAGTGAAGGGACTTGTGCACGGTGACTGACCTCACACACCTGCTTGGGTGTCTCCATTGTGGTCTGGACTCTTTCTGCTATGCCATTGCCTTCCTTGTAGACTAAAAGTGCTGTTTCCTTTTTCCCATTTGAGAGAAGACTATGATTGAATTTTAGAATATTAAAATCCTGCAGTACAGTACTATGTTTAGATCAAGTTAGCATCTATAAATGCCAATACTTTCTCTATTAAGCTAGTGGCTTTTCTCATCACATTGATGATGACAGCCTTTCAAAGCACCCCTCCCCAAACTTTTACTTTGGGGCTACTTTTAATCTCTCTAAAATTGTCTGATCTCCGCTGAGCAGAAGGGGCGAGATACCAACACGCATATAGAGACCAGAATGTAGAAGTAATAACTGTTCCGCCCCCTCATTTCTCTGGGAACCTCGTTGCAGAAAAGGTGAGGGTATAGTCTCAGCATCCCTTTTATATATCAGCAGGATATAACTTTGAGCATCAGCCAGCTCATGAGTCTGTGATGGGCCTCATCCACTTTTATGTTTCCTACCCTCCAGGGAATACAGAAGCAGATTTACAAATGAAGAGACAGTGTCATTCTGCTTGAGGGTAATGGTGGGCGTCATAATACTCTATGACCACGTGCATCCAGTGGGAGCATTTGCCAAAACTTCAAAAATTGATGTAAGTTGTATTTGTTTTTTATGTAATTCCAAGTAATTTCAAACATAAGTGGAAACCATAGACTTTTATTTAAGGAGCTGGCCGGCTACACTCTGTCTCAGAATTTAGTTTTATAGTTTGTGATAATGGTAGATTTTGGTTTTCTCTCCTCTCATGTTATTTCTTATAGCCCAGATACAGGTGGAATAGAATGAATGAAGGTAACTGCACTGTTTTAGAGTATCTCCTTGTGGAGAAGCCTCATTCATAAAGTGGTACTTCCACATATTTGGCAGTATATGTAAATAAATAATGAAACATAAAAAAATCTTTTTATTGTATCCTTTCATTCCTTTGACCGAAGGCCATTTTTAAACAAAAGCTTTACTTTCAAGTACGTATTAAAAGCCAGTAGAGGTGCCCCAGTGAAGAAAGCTGAAGATTATATACTGTCCCTTCTCCTCCCAGTCATCATAATTTGTGATTGTAGCCTGAGTTTTTCTACTTTGTAATTTCTCACCTCACTCTCATATCTGGTTCATGAGAATTTTAACCAGTATTTATTGAGAATTGTCTTCCAGTTAACCTTTGACACACTCTTGGCATTTCATGTATAGAGGACTGATGATTAGTCAGTCTTCTTATCTTCATCTATCCTATGTAAAGAGAAATAAATCAACATTTTTTGAACCATTACTGTGTCCCAGGAATTTTAACATTTGTTCTCTCATTTAACTTTGAAAATACTCTTAGGATGTAGGTGTTATTTCCCCTGTATTAATAGAGAAGTAAAGTTTAGGGAGATTTCTTAATGTAACTGCTAGTGAATGGTACCTGGATTTTGAACCCTCGTCTCCATGGCTTCCAAAGCCTGTGGTGTTTCTGCCATGCTCTGCTTTCTCACAGTAATCAGGCTCATCTTCTGTGCGGATCATTTTCATCAAGTTGTTCCCTTTCTGTGAAGCCTGTGACATGTCTCTGCTGCCACCCCCGTCAGTTCCCCATGAGTCCTCCTGGCTTTTGAGGCCTTCTGTGAACTGCCCTGTGCGATTCACCTTAGCCCTCTGCATGTGCTGAGCTTTCTTACTTTTTTTATTGGGTTCATCTACCTGGAAGGCGCTTCTTTTTCTCACCAGTGTGTCCGCTCTGTCCTTTAAAAGGCTGCTCAGCAGATTTTCCAGAAAGTCTCATTAGTGTGTTTGGCACTTCTGTTCGTCTGACTTGGTTTCCAGAAAGTTTTGCCTGATTGACAAATTGAAAATAACACTTGGGTAGATTTCCCCCCCCATTCTAAGAATAATTGTTTTGACATTTCTAGTGTGTAATTTCTCATGAGTGCCATAGTTACAGAGCTGGTTTAACTGTTATTAACTGTTTTGAGAATGAATGTTTTGAGAAATATTAACGGTATTAACTGTTTTGAGAATGAATGTTAGATGAAAAATCAGTGTTTCATGTTTTCTGTTTTGTTTTCTGCTTAGATGAAAGGCTGTATCAAGGTTCTTAAGGACCAGCCTCCGAACAGTGTAGAAGGTCTTCTCAATGCTCTCAGGTGAGTACGCGCACAGGTACACGTGGATAAGATGAACATGTTAAGATGTTTCAGTGTGTGAATAACACATAAATGTTAGAAATGTGAAGATCTCATGTTGCTTATTGGTAGTCTTGCTTTCAAATATTGGTCACAGTATTTTTTATAATGAAGAATGTGTGTGTGTATGTGTCCCACTGAAAACAGCAGTTTCATTTCTTTGCTGTGGAGTGTGGCTTTCACTTTTCTGCCCACCTCAAAGGAAGGACTGCTTATTTGTTGTTTTAATAAAAGCAATTGTATAAAATTCAGAAAACAGGAAAATTTTAAGAAGAAAATATGGAACCCTCACTATTTTGAAATAAACCACTATTAACATTTTGGTATATACCCTTCCAGTGTTGTTGTTTTTTTTTTTAAACATTTTGATGCATATCCTTCCAGTTTCTTCTTAAAATACTTGTATATAGCCATAGCTTTATATAAAAGTTAACTTTTACAAAATAATAATATACAAACTTTTATAGCTGAACTTTTCCGTTAGTATAGTATAATTATATTTCTTTGTTTATACTACAGATCTTTATTACTTTTGTGCATTTTTTATAATGAAAATAAAGCAGTCATTAGTTGATGTCTGTCTTCTCAGTTTAGACTTACTTGATTTAGTTACTAAAGCTCCTTCAAATCCTGGACTATTTTTAAATGAAAATCTCAACCCATTATAGAGTCTTGACTACATAGATTTAATTGGTAGTTATCATTTCCCTAATGTAAAAGATGATTTGCTTGTTACTTGATTGTTTTGTGTTTGAACACAAAAACTGTGTGAACGAAGATATTTATTCAGTGACTTTTTGAAGTCATAGGCCATTGTAGTGCATTGTAACTCACAGAATAAACTGATTTCCAATATAGTATTACCTTCTTCACATGTTTCATGAGCAAAACAGATTGTTTATTCTTTTTGGACACTTAGTCACATCTGGTGCATCATTAAGCAGAATCTAGGCTGTGTCATTTCAGCTGCGTGGAACCGTGAAGTTATTTTATTAAGATGATGAAAAGTATTCTATAAGCAGTGACTGTCTACATAAAGATGGTCTATTCTGGGGGTGGGGGTGGGAAGAAGGCTCAAAAGGGAGGGGATATATATATATATATATATATATGTATGTATAATTAACAACTGATTCTCGTTGTTTGGAAGAAACCAGCACAATGTAGTAAAACAATTATCCTTCAATTAAAAGAAAAATTAAAAAAAGATGTGTTCTAAGTGAAAAGCAGAGTGATTAAGGAACATAAAATAACAACCAAAAAAAAAAATCCTTATGTCAAACTGTTTCAACTGTAAGCCTATCAAAAACCTTAAATTCTTTGAATTTTTTATTCTGGAGACTTCTCACTGATTGTATCAATATTTACGGTATTGTGATTCTTGCTGCTTGATCCCTTTCCGAGGATTCCCCATGTCGCAGTCAGCCTGAGCTGTCTCCCAAGCCCTTTCCTTTCTGATTGGTTAGGCTCTTCCAAAGCCAGCAAGTGACAGGAACTCTTTTTTCCCTAAAGGAAGAAATAACAGAGGTCTAGGACGTTTTAGTGTAGCATTTATTTACCCTGAAGAGACTGTGCTTCCAGCAGTAATTTAACACACAGAGTTCACTTCTGCTTTTCGCAGCGTAAAAGTAATTTGGTGTGGGACAGAGGAGGGCAGTGGCAGTGAGTACAAAGGTGTGGATGTCCGCCCCAAACACGCTGTGTTTGAGAGAAAGGGGGAGAAGACTCACTCTCTGCCAGGTGAGGCGAGAGCCTAGCTGTAGGTTTCCTTTCTAAATAATACCATAGAAGTCAGAAAGTAAAAGTTCACTGCAGAGATAACTCCTGAGCTGTTCTCACTCATAGTGAAACACATATGCTATGTCTGCTTGTTATTTCCCCCAGGGAGATTTTGTGAGGTTAACCAGCATACCTGTTGTGATGTAGTAGTGGTTATAATTAGTAACAGTTTTATATCACCGTACATTTACCATGCAGTTTCATGTCTGGGGCTGTATTGCCTCTTCACCACAGCTTAGTGAGGTAGCTGGTGGTAGGGGCCAGTGGGGGTGTCTCCATCCTACAGTAGATACCTGAAGCTCTTGAGAGACTTAAAGATGATACAACTAATAAATGTTGGGGTCTATCTTCAGATTCAGGGTTTTATTCTTAAAATCCCATATACTTGATACTGCATTATCAAGCCGCACGTTTACTCTGAGATTAGTCATTGCACTCCGGAATCATCTGGATGGAAGGGAAATGCAGATTCCCAGGTTACCACCTCCAGAGAGTCTAGTCTGTCCGTTAGGTCTGGGGAGGAGGCGAGGCTCAGGCACCTCAGTTTATAAACAAGCACCCTGTGTGTTGTAGATAATGTTGGTACTTTGAGAACACTGCTTAAACTAAACCAACCTAGCTCTTAACATGCTTCACTCAGAGCGGAGAAGACAGTGTTAAGAAAGCATTTTGGAATCCCAGAGTGCTGTGCGAGTGTTGCTGTTGCTGTCTCTACGGAAGAGAACACATTTTTGCTGCATTATTTTCTTTTTTAAGTGAATAGCTTATTTATTACAGATGCTCACTCCATCCTTTTCCTCGGAGTCAAGTTTTAAATAATATAGTTGCATGTATATATATATATATAGATATAGTTGCTTGTTTTGAATACTTTTCTGTAGTAATGATATAGTTCCCTGCAACTGACACTATGCAATGAGGAGAAAGCAATGAGCCATGTCTATATTTTACAGATGGAGAAAAGGAACCAAGTTTCTTTGATCATAAGAGAAAGAGAAACAAAACTAGAGCTGGGAGTTCAGGTTCAGTGCTAGATAACTACCTTTTTTATTAATTTATTAAGTTTATTCTTAAACTTAAGTCGTATTAGTAGTTTCTTTTCTTCAGTAGAAAAGTCATATACTCTTGGAAAAGGACTTTTGTGTTTATGTGTGAAGTGAAATAATGCCATTCATCTTCACGTATACGTTGCGTTATTTTCACTTGCATTAGATGCCTTTAGCCTTTTCTTGATGAAAATGTGAGGATGAACTGTCTTAAATACAAAGGAGAACAGGAGTTTGTAAACTGCTTTTGTAAAGGATCAGAGAAAAAGCAAATATTTTAGGCTTTATAGGCCCCGTCACATCTGTCAAGCTATTCAACTCTGCCCTGGAGAAGGAAATGGCAACCCATTCCAGTATTCTTGCCTGGAGAGTCCCGTGGATGGAGGAGCCTGGTGGGCTACAGTCCATGGGGTCGCAGAGAGTCGGATTGACTGAGCGACTTCACTTTCACTTGTAGCAGGAAGGTGACCATAGACGATATGTAAGTGAATTAGCATGGCTCTGTTTCAGTGAACTATTTATTATAAGCACTGAAATTTGAATTTGATGGAATTTCCACATTAATGTGAAGTACTATTTTTTTTTTTACTTTTTCTCTCAACCATTTAAAAATGTAAAAATATGCTTAGCTCACAGGCCATACAAAAATAGATAATAGGTTGGATTTGATCCATGGGCTATAATTTGCCAGCCTTTGATACTGGACAGCTATTTTCCTTTGAGAGGGAAGTTATAGATAATTGTCTACTGTAGAAGCTAACCAACCTTTTCAACGAGGTAGTTCGTTCTAAATGAGTAAAGCCGCCATTGGATGTTCTGTTTAAAGGTAAGAGGCGCATCCGTCAGCAGGGACTGAAACGGGGTACAGCTGGACTGAAGAGACCTCCTTTTGTAAGACAAGATCTCCTGGCCTGTTGTTGCTCTTACCATAATTACAGAACCTGATGCAGGTTGTGGTGGTTTTTTTAACCCCCTAAAATGGATGTTCTTCCCTCATAGGTACACAACAAAACATTTGAATGATGAGACTACCTCCAAGCAGATTAAATCCATGCTGCAATAACAGTTCTGGAAAAGCAACCTGCTGTAGACAGAAGACAGTGTTCCGCAGTGACTGAGAATGCACAGTCTTTAGTGATTGCGAATATATCTTGTTTACTCCTGCTTTTTATTTCTTTCCTCTGTTCCTCTCCCTCTTTTTTAATCATGTTCTTGATCTTATGACTTCTTTTCTGTGCCAAAATCAGTAAAGTTATACTCTGAAGGGATATTGTCCTTTCAAACAGGCCATCTAAGGCAGCTAATTATGCATCGCATTGGGGTCTCTACTGAGAAAAATTCTGTGACTTGAACTAAATATTTTTAAATGTGGATTTTTTTTTGAAAAACTAATATTTAATATTGCTTTTCCTGCATGGCAAAACTGCCTATTCTGCTATTTAAAAACCCTCAATGACTTTATTTTCTACTGCCGCTTTTTTCATGTGCAGCCAAAATAAAAATGTTTAAATTAACTGTGTTGTACAAATGGTACCCAACACACACTTTTTTTAAATTAGTAAGACTTTTGTTTAAAGTTTTAAGTTTGCATTTTGACTTTTTTTGTAAGGATGTATGTTGTGTGTTTAACCTTTATTAACTAACGTTAAAAAACTGTGATGTGTGCGTAGAATATTACGTATGCATGTTCATGTTTAAAGAATGGCTGTTGATGATAAAATAAAAATCAGCTTTCATTTTTCTAAGTGTGGTTTGGTTTACTGATGTTTTGTTTCTGGGTCTCTAGAGTTTTCCCTGTGTGTATTTTTTGGAATGTATGTGTACAGTACATTTTTCCCCTCTTTTAGGGGAGAGCTGGGTCTTTTTTATTACTTTAATTGCTTTAAAAATCTTGCTGAGTACAAGATGACTATTGGTGGTGGTGGTGGTTTAGCCACCGAGTCCTTTTCCGACTCTTTGTGACCCTTTGGACTGTAGCCCACCAGGATTCTCTGTCCATGGTTTTCTCCAGGCAAGAATGCTGGAGTGGGTAGCTATTTCCTTCTCCAGGGGATCTTCCTGACCCAGGGATTGAACCCTGCGTTGCAGGTGGATTCTTTACCGAAACTGAGCCACCTGAAAAGATCCCTAGTAATCTTGTCATACTTGACTTTTATCCTTGATTTCCTCTTGCATGGATGTAGCAACAGAAGGGAAACTACACCTTTGCTCAAAGGGCAGTTCTCAGGAGCAGAAAGGTTGCAACTTGAAATAGCATGTGGAGGGAAGAACAGTCCTGAGTACTGGGAGGAGAGTGAGTATATGAGGGACTTCTGAGGAGAAACTGAAGGCCGCAGTGTCACTAGTGCTAGGAAACTTCGTGTGCTTATTACTTTAAGATCATAAATCTTAACCATAAAGTGTCCTAATGGGGAGAACCTGCTTAAGGTTTGTCTAGTCCACCCATGATGGGTTAAGGGTTATCTATGGGAGAAAATCCCAGAGAATTCCATCCATATCTCTGGTTCACTAGTAGCAAATGGCCACGCCCACAGCCTGTCATGATAGAATCCCTGCTCTGTCACCTCTCTGGCCTCGGTCTCCCTCTCTGCCACCCACAGCCTGCAACCAGCCAGGCTCAACTGCGTGCTGATCAGATTGTTCTACTCGGTATGACACTTCGTAACTTGGGTCCCACTGGTCCCTGAGCCTGTCATCCCCTTCCTCCCTCACGTTCATCTGAGGAATGGCAGCTCTCGTCTTTGGAGGATCAGCTTGTGTCGCCTCCTTGACAAAGCCTTGGGGATAACTTGAGCCACCTTCCAATAAAGAAAGATGTAATGTTAAATAGTCCCCCTTCCCCGAAGGTAAGTCCATCTGGAACCTGGAGATGCCCTGTCATTTGGAAAAAAGGGTATTTGCAGCTGACATTAAGTCAAGGATCTGGAGATAAGACCATCCTGTATTACATGGGGTCCTAAACTAAATGTAAGAGGAAAGAAGGGGAACTGGACATAGCAGAGGCCGTGTGAAGGTGGAGGTGTGAGTGGAGGAAGCTGTGTGTCTGCAAACAGGGTCCAGACTCGCTGGCAGCACTGGAAGCGGGGGAGATTTCTCCCAGAGAGCCTCGCCAGAGAAACCAACCCTGCCAACACCTTGGCTTCAGAATTTTGACCTCCAGGGCTGGGAGAGAAGAAATGCCTTGCTTTAAACCACGCAGTTGAGGCTAGTTCATCATGGCAGCCCTAAGACTCATACAAGTGTCTCATCCAACAGTGCTGCTGTCTCACCGGACCGCTTTCCTCATCCCGTGAGAACTTAAGAGCCTCATCTGATGTCCCTTCAGCGTCCCAAGGATTTTTCCCAGTACCTGGATCTAAGGAGGTGCCAAGTGTAAGTGCTTGAATGGATATAAATTAAAAATGATGTTGCAGCTGAAGTAGATGTAATACTGCTGTGGCCTTTGCCGTTAATGTATTTTGTGGTCTCCGCATCAGAGAACAAGTGGAAGTTTCTTTCAACCTCCGACCAGGCCTCAGCAAACTCTGCGAGCCAGTCCTCCTGCCACCTATTTCTGTACAGCCTGAGAACTAAGAATACTTTCTACATTTTTAAAAGGTTGGCAGAAGTCAAAACTATTTTGTGGCATGTGTAAAATACATGACATTCAAATTCCAGTGTCCATAAATAAAATGTTACTGGAACACAGCCTCACTCATTTGTTTACATGTTACTCTTGGCTGCTTTTGCGTTACAACAGCAGAATGGAATTCTTGTGACAGGCCATATGGCCCTCAGAAAGTTGACCGATCTCTAGTTCCAAGAACAGGTGTCTTTGAAAACCTCAAAGAGGTTGAGGTTGTTGGAACCACGGAACAACAGTTTCTGTGTGTGGGAAGCACGGTGCTGCGTAGTGTTATGAGCCATCTCTGCTTCCAGAAAGTAGGTTTAGTTTGGTTTAGTATTTACTGTTCAGATAGTAAGAAGTTCCTCCAGATCTGATCTTTATTCATGTCTATCCTCAGAATGAAGGATTGTGGAACTGGCCATGGGCTCATCATGAAAGAGACCAGGCTTAGTAAGCAGGTCTGCCCAGTGTGCTGGAGGGAGGCATGACTCTGCTCTGCAGGTGAATCTCCTACCGCTATAAGCCTTTTACCCCCTCAACCTCTAAAACACAGCCTAGTTGGTACCACTTTACTCATCCGGTACCCCAGCCCCTACGCCTCCCTTCTTCACAGGATAAAGTTGCTTCCTGTCTTACACCAGCAACACCCCTCATGATGTGTTCTTCATCCTGTTTCTGCAGCCCTCAACCTCTGGATGAGTAAAACTTCTCACTTGGCTGTTTTCCCACTTTAGAGAGTTGGATTAAGAAGCATGCTGGACTATTTTAAGATTGCTCCAAGCATTTTAGACTTAAGGCATTTGTGCTCAAATGCAGGTCTTTGAAGTTGAAATGCCATACTGATTCCATTTGAAATGGCAGTAATTGCTACTCCATAAATTCTCAGAAAATTATCCCTTATTTCACATATTTCAGTCTTTACATGGTGATCCTAGAAGACGGCGGTGGAAAGACCTGTAGATTAAAACTCAGGAAACCCCACCCACATTGCTTCTTTGGAACTCTATCTTCCCAGTCAGTAAGAGTGAAGACAGTATCTCTAACCCTTGATTCCATGTCATGCAGTACATGTCTTTTTTATCTACACTGCCAGATGCTGCGGCATTTGTGTGAATAGTCACAGCGCAGACTCCCGAGGTGGTGGAGCTGCGTTTGAAACTTGTAACTTTGGACGAGTCTCGTGTGTCCGCGTTTATGCAATGGAATACTTGAGGTACCTGCCCCTCTGCTGCGGCCCTGGGGGCTGCGCTGGCTGGTGCTGTACTGTGTGCACCAGGAGTGCCGCCTGCCGGTCTTGCTGTGACCATCATGATGTCTGTATTGCAGCCTGTTTCAGAGGTCATGTCCATGAACGTGTATGGTTCTCCACTTAGCCCAGAGTTGTCCCCAGCACCGTTCTGACTACTTTCCTCAGTCTAGGAGGGTATCATTGGGCAAAGATGCCCAATTTTAATGCTCTTTAGAGATCCTATAACTGATGAATAGTAATCACTTACTGTGATTGCTACTAGTGTGTGATCACTCACCACTTACTGTGGTGCTGTGTGCCGGTGCTAAGTCGCTTCAGTCGTGTCCAACTCTGTGCGACCCTATGGACTGCAGCCCGCCAGGCTCCTCTGTCCATGGAATGCTCCAGGCAGGATTACTGGAGTGGGTCGCCGTTTCCTCCTCCAGGGCATCTTCTAGGCGTAAGGACTGAACCCGCGTCTCTTAGGTCTCCTGCACTGGCAGGCAGGTTCTTCACCACTGGCATCACCTGGGAAGCCAGAACTTCCTGTGTGTGTGTACGCTTAGTCGCTCAGTCGTGTCCGATTTGGGACGCCATAGACTGTAACCTTCCGGGATCTTCTGTCCATGGGATTCTCCAGGCAAGATGACTGAAACTTCCTGTGAGGTAGTGCTATTTCTCTAACTGGGCAGGCGATTAACTGCCTGTTTGAAACCAAAACTAGCAGCGTAATTATCTTAAACACAGCGCCCTGGTCCAGTGGAAACTCCAGCAGCGCCCACAGCACATTCTGGTGTCAGAAACTGGAGTACCTGTTCACAGCCCGCCTAGACTGTCCTCAGACCGAAGATGGGTGCCGGGTGGGGCTTTCGTGGAGGAGAGCAGCAGTTTTCTGGGGGTGAGAAGAGGGCACGTGGGGAGCAGAGGCAGCCAGTGGGGGGGCGCAGCTGTAGGGGCCACCGGAAGACGGGCTTTCGGTCTCGTCGTCAGCAGGCTCAGGGCGGAGGCGTGACCGGATCTGACGTATGTGATGAGGTTCACTCCAGCCGCTGTGCCAGGGACAGAATGAGGTGAGCGGGGACAGAGGCACGGAGGCCGGGTGAGCCATTGCAGGCACCGAGGCAGAAATGATGGCGGGTCACTGAGTGGACGTGGTGAGCAGGGACCAAAGCTGGGATATGTTTCGAAGGCAGAGCCCCCAGGGACCCTCCACAGACCGGATGTGGGTGTGTGACAGAAGAGTCCAGGGCCATCCTGGCCTGGAGCCTGGGCACCTGGGAGGAAGGGGCTGGGCCCAGGTGCCAGGAGCGTGCCCTGCAGAGTGAGGGGTGGTTTCTAGCTCCCGGAAGCACTGGCTCCTTGCTCCAGGCAGGGCTTCTGCTGTGGGCACCTGGCATCCGTTGGTCTGGTGGTGGGGTGGGGGTGGGGGGTCCTCCAGGGAGCATTTGGCCGCGAGAGGCTGGGAGGAGGGGTAGGGCTGTGGAGGGTGGACCGCAGGACAGTCTGTGTAGGGGAGAGTCTCCACTCTGCAGGTTCGATTCCTTTCTGCCCCTCTCTTGCTTTACAACTTCCCTGGGCCCCACTTCCCCCATCTGTAGAAGTCAATCTCCACGGTCCCACCTCAGACCTGGAGTAGCTGTTGAGGCAACACTGGCTTCTGGGGTCCTGAGAGGGGAGAGCTGCTCCCAGGGGTCAAAGGCGGCGGAGGCGCCTATGCCCAGACCCCTGGGGCCGCGGCGCAGCTCAGCTGTCCCAGCTCTGTGGCCAGCCCCAAGCTAACAGCTCCTGGAGCCCCGGACTTAGCTGCTGGAAGGAGAGTTCAGATAAGAATCATCCCGTGAGGGCCGGTGGGTGGGCTCACTAGTGGTCCTCCAAAGGGAGGCAACCACCATATGTAAGCTTGCTATTCAAGGGGCGCAAACATGAGAAGACATGTTCAGAGAGGTGGAGAAGCTTGCCTGAGGTCACACAGCTACTGACAGGGACAATTTTCAGTCGAAATCTGCTGGCCTCAGAGCCCTTGCTCAACATATTATTTTCCTCCAACTTTGATGACAGAATCCTCACTTTCTACAATAGAACCAGTTTGATTTAATTAGTACAGTGTTGATTCATTTATGACCACCTTTCATTTGAGGCAAAAGCTGCTTTTCAAGAAAGTTTAACTTAAAGATATATGTGTTACGGAAGAATATTATGTGCTCACCAGACCATAAGAGAGAAGGCTTTTGTTGCCACTGGACATCCATTCCCTCCCTAGCCAAAGGGAAGACTTTTGCTGGGAGAGAAGACTGGCCAGTTTGTGTGAAGTTTAGAGATGGAAAGAAAGGATTTTCATGAAGATCATGTATATGGACTCATTTAATGTTCTTTAAGACACACACGAGTTAAACATTAATCCCTTTTAAATTACTTGTGGCTCATTAACTTATTAAAATGTGGGCCTCTCTGAGTCCACAGAGCAACAATGCAGGAGGCTGATTTATTTGATTCCGGCAGTGCAGAGTGAAAAGTGTGTGTGTTCTTGTTTTCCCCACAAGGAGGAGCCCCTGTCCACACTCCCCAGACAGAACTGAGGATGCTCAAATGTGGTGAAAGCGTGACATTGGTGCGTTGGTTCCAGAGGAGGGCCTTCCAGAGATTGGTGTGAGGTCTGTGTAGACCCTCTTGCCTGAAACCTCACTTCTCAGGCTACAGAGACTGTTTAATGGCACGCAATATACTACACTTTTTTAAAAGTAAATGTATCAAACTAAGTTACTGAATCTTTCTGCAAGATATATGAGTGATGGAAAAATTACTGAAAGGATAAAGATCAGAATGTCAATATTGGTTATTTCTGAGAAGTGGAATTAAGGAGATTAAAATGTTCTTCATTCCTTTCTGAAACTTTTTTTTTTTTTAACAGTGACCACTGTTTTGATTGTCAGACAAGTTTCACTGGTAGAAGAGAATATATCAAGTGCTCCTGCTGGGTGATCTCCCTGCCTCTGAGCGCTTTACTCATTTCCGTCTGGGTGGGCTCTTCTAGGAAGAGCACGGCGCTGGGAGTGGGGAGACCTGGTCCTGGCCTCCGGGTCTTCCTCGGCCCCCTATGCATGGCCTGACCCACACCTGTGCACACCCACACTGCCCACTGCGCACACAAACACTCACAGCCCTGAGCCCGCACCCCGGTCCGTAGTGAAATCCCTGAACGGTGCCACTGGGTGACCACGGAGCAGTTTGAGCACCGCTCTCATTTTACAGGTGGGGAAACGGGCTGAAGGAGAGCGCAGGGCGCTGAGATGAAGGGGAGGCTGGCCAAGTCCTCTGTGAACCCGGAGAAGGTCGGGCAGCTTCTTCCTCAACAGCGATACCATTCTAACAACGACATGCCACAGGAAGAGCCGACACCCAGGCACTGTGCTAAACGCTTTATTTACAACTTTTAAAATTCTCACTACAATCCTACGGGCTAGGAATTCTGATCACCCCGTTTTATGGGGGGTGGTGATTTTACAGGAGAAAGCAACATAAAGAGGGCAGGATATGCCCAGAGCTACCCAACTGTCGGCGATGGGGAGGGTGTTCCGGAACCAGCCTCTACAGGCCCTCCTGGAAGAATCTGATCCAAGGTAGGACTCGAGCCTAACTGGGGCCCCCGCTGCCCCAGACCTGGATGGGCAACTGGGGTCTGGGGGCCGGTCCTGAGAAGGAGAGACGAGTGTGAGCTGAGCCGGGCGGAGCCCCACCGTCACCTGGGGCCACCTGCGTGGAGGCTCTGGGCCAGCCACTCCCTGGAGTCGAGGTGGCGGGGCCCCTCGGGGAGCATGGGGCACCCTCCTCAGGCATCGGCCTGGGGGGCCGCGGGGCTGGGCTCGGCCAGCAGCTGCAGCCCTGCGAGGGACGCGTAGAGCGCAGACAGCTGCGGCACTGCCCCAGGGTCCCAGGTGACTCCGTGGCCCGGGCCCCGCAGCTCCAGCCCACAGCTCTCCACCAGGCTCCGGGTGAGGGCTGCATGCTCACACTGCAGCCAGGAGAGGACTTCGGGGGCGGCGAGAAACCTGTGTCCTCCATCTGGTTGTAGTTCGGCTCTAAGATGCTCGCCACCGGTCAGGAATCACCCGGGGGGCGAACACACAGGTCTCCCAAGGCCGGAAGTAGCGGGACTCGCCCTGAGGGTGGGAGCCTGGGGCCTCTGATCACTGGCGCCCACGCCCCACCCCACCCCCGCCACCACACCTGAGCCTGGGGCCTTGCTCCCTGCAGAACTGGGGCTCCAAGGACCGAGCCCCCCAAATGCGCCCTTCCCTGCGCTGCCTGAGGCCTGTGGTTTCCTGCACCCCAAGGGCTCCCAGCGCCTGCATGCACTATTCTGGCTGGAAACCCACCCCATCTCTTCATCCATTAATTCCTGAATTGCATGGAGGGGCCCCCTTTCGGGAACACTCCTGGGCCCCGACAGCCGCCAACATAAGCTACACAAGACCCAGCGCGTCTCCCGCTCCGGGCACTGTCTGTGATCACCTGTTGGAGTCTCTACTTGACCAGCTTGTGTTCTCAGGCCCGAGCAGAGGGCCTGGCAGAAGGCAGGAACCCAGCCTAACCCCTGAATGAGCCTGCGTGTGGCTGCTGTGGTGGTCTGGGTCCACAGGGGTCGGAGCCCAGCGCGCCCCCCATGCCCCCGCCCCAGGCTCTCACCAGCTCCAGCTGCTGGGGCAGGACCTCCCTCTCCAGGCACTGGGCCAGCAGGCAGTGTCGGGTGGCACTCAGCGCTGCGGGGAGATGAGGGTGAGGGCCACCGTGGGCCTGCGGCTCCCGGGAGGACAGGCTGGGATACTGGGGCCCTGAGGTGGGGGCACGCCCCACCTGGGATCTCTGGGGCCATCTTTCCCCAGAAGGTTCTAGAAGGTGGGATCTGTGCCTGCCCTGGAAGTGCTGCATAGCCTTTGGTAAGACCACTCCATGCCCCTCAGTTTTCCTAAGTCACAATCTGTCAAGGGTGTGCGGGGGGCTTCACTGACTAAGGGCATTCGTGGGTAGTAGCTCACCTCCGGGACTGGTGACTTTGCAAGGTGGTTACTAACCGGGAGATGGCGAGACTGGCCCGGGCTCCCCGTGCTGAGCCAGCACGAGAACCCGGCCCTTCCTCCAGCCCCAGCCCACAGCGTCCTTTTACCGACTAGCGCTCCAAGAACGCAGAGGACGGCCCTGCTTCTCGAGGGCGACAGGCCACCCGAGGGGTCCTAGAGGGTGCTTACGATGAGGCTCCCAGGGCCATCCAGCTGTCCCGGCACCCTGGTGTCCAAGGCCTGCTCCAGCTGCGGGAAGTGGTGAGGAAGAGCAAAAAGAGGCAACTGTGGGTGCCCCTCTGTCCTCTGTCCACGTGTCCTGCCACCCAAGCTCCCGTCCCCACGCCCTGGGGCCCCAGCCCCTCACGGTGCCAGGGAGGCTGGGATGAGCCTGGGCTCAGCGCCAGCAGCACTACACCAAGGTCCCTCCTTGGGCTTCAGGGAGATCCTCACACATTCCTGCTGCTCATCCCCCCACCCCCTCCCTGCCCTGACCACCGGGCCCCTCACCCTGTTTTCGAGCTTCTATAGGGCCCACAGGGGCTCTGGAGCAGCTCCCAGAGGGCGGCCAGCAGGGAGAGCCGCGGCTCCAAGGGCAGCCTGGCCAGGGCCTCCAGCTGAGCCCCTGCCTGCCTCCTTGGGCCCTGGAAGTTGGGCTCCTCACTGGGGACATGCCTGTGGGGCAGGTGTTGGCATTGCTGTGTTCTGTGCCCAGGCTCCTGCCCAGCGCCAGCCCCGCCCTGATCAGCCCCGGGGAAGCTCCATGTTAGGCAGAGCGCGCCTTTATGTGCTCACCCCTCCTGCCTTCCCTGGTACACAGTAGGCACTCAGCACGTTCTGAGCACCTACTGCATGCCAGGCGCTGCACACCCATGGGGCTTATCCTCACCTTCCGCCTTCCACCACTTCCCTCTCCTCCTCCTCAGTCGCTCACCCTGCCCAGGGCTGATGCTTCAGCTCAAGGAGAGGCCAATTCCCTGCCCCGTTCTGTCTGTTCCTCGGACCCCCGGACTGAGACCCCTCCACCCCATCACCCCTCCGGGATGGCTAAGGTAGGGCTTCTCAGGGTCTCAGCGCCCCTGCAGAGGTGGGTGGGTGGGTAGATCTGGCAGAGTGGCCAGAGGGCCCTGCCTTCTGCTTCCTGTTTTGTTAACCATACAGGCTGCCTCCGGAGAGCCTTCCAGGTATCCAATGCTGCCCAGACATCATCACCGATCTTCCCGACTTGGGAAGACAGCCCTGACCTCCCCTTGTGTGGTGGGGAGACCAAGGCTAGAGCTGGTACCTGGAACCGGCCCACGAGCCCTGTGCTCACCGTCCTACCCACAGCCTGGTCCTGGGGTTTCGAGCGCATCTCCATCCCCCCGGGGAGAGGACACAGGGCCCTCCCTGCCCAAATGACATGGGGTGACTGTGTGGGGTGGGAGGGGGGCCCTGACAACGGGGTCAGGGCCTTCTCCAGAGAGGCGGTGATTTCTGGCTGGGTTCCTGAGCTCCTGGCAGGGGTCACTCACCTCCGCTGGCATTTCTACAGAGCTTCCCTTCAGGCAGGTACAGTACAGCTGCGTGGGAGCAGGGATAGAGAAAAGAGAAAAGTCCCTGGACCGCTGATGAGCAGGCCCACCCCTGGTCCACGTGATTCTCTTGTCTCTCCCTTCCCCAGGTCCAATGCCCCAGCCCCATCCCCACCCCCCGGGGCAAGCCGGGCACAGGCAGGGTGGTGAGGCCTCCCTGTGATCTGGCCTGGAAGCCCACTACGAAAGGCACCTGAGTGCTCAGGCCCATGAGGAAAGAGCCTCCTTCTTCCTCTTCCTTCCCCATACTCAGCAGCTGCCCCCCTCCACCAGCTCCTCTGGCCTCCACGTACCCCAGCGATCCTCCTTCATCACCAGCTGCAGCACCCTGTAGGCCAAGACAGCGCCCTGTGGGATGCCCACTGTCTTCTCCGTGGCCACGGTGCTCTGACCCTGCAGCTGGGAGGGGGCGGGGAGATTCTAGGACCTGCAGGAAGGGGTCTCAGGGCTAGACAGGAGCGGGGGATGGCGGGCACAGGGGGAGGGGGCTGCAGGAGGCCGACGTGATGACCAGGGCCCGCTGAAGTTGGAGGATCAGAAGGTGCAAAGGCAGGGGTCACTCGGGCACAGTAGGAAGGCACTCTGAAAAATAGGTTGCAGGTGAGACATTTCCAAAAATCCCAAGGCTTTCTGGGGTCAAAGCAATCTACAGTGGCACTCAAAGATCCCACTGCAAAGAAATGAGTTTTGTTTTGCCTCATCATGTGTCGTTCAGAGTTTGGAAGGTTCACTTCAGGAAGGGCTGAGCTGGAAGCCTGGGGCATGGCAGTTTGAGAAACTCCATAGGTCGTCCTCTGTCAGGGGCAGCTGATGGAGGGGGCTCTTGGGAAGCTGGGACTCCTGAGGTGGGGCCAGGGGTGCCACCGTCAGCACTGGATCCCACCAGAGAAGTGCTACTGAGAAGCAAGAGAACTATCCTGAGGAACAGATGAGACAAGAGTATGGAGGCCGTTCTGTACAATGTCTGAGCTCCTGGACAGTATTCAGTTTGGTGGCCTGGAGACTGACCTCCAGGTGACCGGCCCCCACCTGCACTCATGGGGATGGTGAGAGGTGGGGCCTGGAGGTGATGCTGTGAGTGCAACTCAATCTGTGGGAGTCGAGATCCCCCTGAGCCCTAGAATGCTCGTGTGGGGCCCCGCCTCCCCCGTCACAGTGGGGACCGGAGGCAGCCCACGGATGCTGCGTGGCAGAAGAACAGAGTTGGTGAGGAGCAGATCTGGGTCTTGAAGGTAAGTCGAAGGAACCCTGCCCGTCCCTGCCCTTGGCACGTCCGGGGCACTCTTCTCACATCGCTGAAGAGTTTCACCCTGATTCCAGCCCAGCTTCGGGGACCAGAGAAGTCAAGCTCAGAGGGCCAAGTGACTTGCCCAAGGCAACACAGCCAGCCAGGGGCCGAGCTGGGGTTCGCAGCCAGATATGCCCAATTTCAAAGTTGCTGCGAAACCCCCTGCCCTGCAATACTGCTCCCCAGCAGCAGATAAGACTCACCTGGGAGAGTCAGAACACCAGCGACTGGGTCCTAGTCCACCCCAGTGAAAACTGTGTGCGTGTGTCTGTGTGAACTGGTATTTTTAAAAAGTCAAAAACCAACAAGACACCTCTCCAGGTGATTCTGAAATGCAGAGTTGACACAAGCGCCCAGGGACTCCACATTCCTGGTGAGAGGGGGTGGTTTGCCAGGAGTCGGGGGCGGGGGGCTCCTTGGTGGCTTTCAGCACCCGGCACACCATGTTTGCACCCCTAGGGCGCCCCCTGCATCCGGACGTGGCCCAGCTGGAGGAGAGTCAGCTGCCCGGCTCCCTCTGCTCGCCTCTGAAACGTGGCCTGCTGCGTGGCCTCCAAGGCCTCGGTCACCATGTACAGGCTCTCCTTCTCCTTCCGGCTCTGCAACTCCTGGAGGAACGAGGGTCTCAGAGTCTTGTTTCCTGCCAGGGGTGCCGGTGGGGGCAGGAGAAGAGACAGAACTTGGAGGCGCTCTCCAGGGCTCCCCCACCTTGGGACCTTCTGCAGTGGGCAGCCTGGACTCTGTGCTGATATGGGCGGGGGGTGGGGGGTTACAGCGGGCGCCTGGCCTGTACTCAGGACTAGAATTCAAGGTCAGCTGGGGGTGGTTGGAAAAGGGAGAAACAGAGGACTCTCAGACATCTACATCTGTCTTCTGCAGGACTTAAAATGACCAGCCCAGAGGCTACCACTGGGCTTCCTGCCGCCTGAATCGAGCAAAAGGCATATGTTACTTAGTTTATGTGGTGTTTAAAAATGTTGAGATAATATTAAAACTGGTGGTAGTGGTGATGTAGTCGCTCAGTTGTGTCTTAACTCTTGCGGCCCCTTGGACTGTAGCTCGTCAGGCTCCTCTGTCCATGGAATTTCCCAGGCAAGAGATGCTGGAGTGGGTTGCTATTTCCTTCTGCTATTTCCTCGATCCCTGAGCCAGGGATCGAACTGCAGTCTCCTGCATTGCAGGCAGATTCTTTACTGACTGAGCCACCAAAACCTCAGTTTTGGCTTCTCTCAAGAAAAACCAAAACGGTGCCACGGAGCTCATATTCCTGCCTGGCAACAAGTAGGTGCAGCTGTCAGCTTCAGCAGGCCTGCGTCCCCCAGTTTGCCAGAGTCCCCACCATGCCCTGTTGCCTTACCCTTGGCAGCTACCGCACTTCTGTTTTTCTGGCCTTAAAAACAACCAGGGGTTTGAAATCTCTGACTTAACACGAGTCCCTCTCACTGCCTACTCTCCCTTGCCCCGGGGGCGGGGGGCCTTGCCCCTGGGTTTGCTGCTAATAGTGGACTCCCCCCATCCCAATCTACTCCTCAGAAGGCTTCTCGCCAGGCTCTCAAGTGGCCGGGACCTTGGGGCTTTTCCCTCCTGCCCCCGGCCCCAGGGACCTGGGCCCACAGAGAGCAGAGCTCAGTCCACCTGGCTGATGTTCCCACCTCTCCTCCACCAGGGTCTCCCAGGCGTGGGGGCACCCAGAGCAGCCACACAGCCCGCACGGAGCCACGGCTTACCAGGCCGCTGCCCGTCGCGCTCCCCTGCTGCTCAGGGCCAGGCTCACGCCTCCGTCACGGCTCCTGCCACCGTCTCCTGGAAGCGCTGCGGCTCAGTTCTGTGGGGAAAGGGGTCCAGGCATGGGCCAGGGGGCCGGGGGGCACTAGGCCTCTGCCTCAGGCCCCAGTTTGGCCTCCACCTCTCACCGGCTTGGTGTGACCCCGGGGCAAGAAGCCCTCAACTTCCGGAGCCTGAGTTTCCCCATCTCTAAAGGGGGCAGAAGAATGACAGGGTTTTCCCTCCGAGAGTGGTGGTCAGTGTTTACCGAGGAAACTGCCGACAGGGTCCCTGCCACCCAGCAAGCACTTGGTGCAAGTCAGTCACGATGGTGATTAAAGTGATGACGATGAGTGCTCATCAGAGAGCTGGGACAGGAGGGAGGAAGCGGTGTGCCCTGCTCCCCACAGCAGGCATGTGCTGCCTGGGGGTGCCCCTGGCGTGAGCCTGGGTGGAGGGGGCGTCGGCTTCCCCCCCAGGTGGACCCTTTCTCGAGCCGCCCTGCAGTCCCCTCCACTCTGCTGCCCGCCAGCCCCACCGGGAGGTACCTGGGATGGGGGAGCCGGGCTCCAGGGCGTCCACAAGGGAGAAGGCCGTGGGGACGAAGGGGGTGTCCCAAGGCCAGCGGGGGCGTCTGTGCTTCTTCCTCACCAGGCAGAAGGGGCGCAGGTGTAGGGTGCTGGCCAGGCTGTCCGCGGGCACCAGCTCACCCTTCCGGCCCAGCTCTCTGACCAGGCTCATGGTGTCCCTCGAGACCAGCGATGACATGTTCCTTGAGAGGTGAGAAGGGCGGGTGTCACCCAGGGCTGTGGATGTGGGGGGCCCTGGTGAAGCTGTCAGCCTTCTGAGTTTCTAACATGGGGGGGCCCTGAGCAGAGGGCCCCCCACCCCCATGCCTGGGTGCTAAAGTCAGAATGTAGGTGGAAATCACAGGTGGTCAAAACCCCCTGGAACCATCCTTCCAATCACCCCCTACCTGCCTGCATGGGGCCCCAAGAAACTCCAGGACCAAGGATGCCTCAGTCTGAACAGCTGTTCCCTTGGGAATGTTGCTCTGTGCCTTGGTCTCCTTATCTGTTAAGTAGAAGTATATACATATTTACATAAAATATTTATGTGTGCTGTGCTTAGTCGCTCGGTTGCGTCCAACTCTTTGTGACCCCATGGACTGTATCCCACCAGACTCTCCTCTGTCCATGGGGATTCCCCAGACAAGAATACTGGAGTGGGTTGCCATGCCCTCCTCCAGGGGATCTTCTCCACCCAGGGATCGAACCCAGGTCTTCCGCGTTGCAGGCGGATTCTCTACCATATGAGCCACCAGGGAAGCCTATGTTTATCGGTTTTTATCTATAACAATACTTCCTCCTGGGGACTGTGGCCAGGACTAACAAGTTGCTTGTAAAGCACTTAGAACAGTGCTGGTGCACGTTGATAAGCTGTCCCCTCGGGGGTCTGGCCCACCATCCTAGTTGGGAGGGTCCCAGGCAGGGTCCAAAGCTGGGGTGCAGGGTGGTTGGGGGGTGAGCGGGTGGGGGCAGCAGCATTTTGCTCAGTCTTTGATAGCACTTGCCATGGCGGTGGGCACCTTACCTCGGAGCGCACTGGGGAGCCACAGAGGGCTCTAAGCAGGACGGCGCCACTGCACACCAGCGTGTGAGTTTCAGGAGGAGTGCCTAGACAGCCGGGAGCACAACCGAGTGTAAAGGGGAGACTTGAAGAGCTTATAACTACATCCAAGGGATGTGACCATGGGCTCCAAACCAACAAGACAGATTTATTCCCTGCTGGGGGCTGGGGGAGAGAGTGTAACAGGTAGAGGGAAGTGAGGGGCTGACTCCTCCATTAGGCAGAGTGTCCAGGGTCCTACAAAAATATTTTTAATTTATGTAAAATCAGAGGAAGGAAATTTTTAACTCTCAAAGAATGTCATAATACTTAATATTAGAATATTCATCTATATACGAATACACTTAAGGCCAAAGAGAAATGTAACATATGGTTGGGAGTGGGCCAACACAGTCTTAAATGGTAATTTTAGGGGTTTTTGGGGGGGTATTTTTTGGTGGGATTGTTAAGGACTCTTGAGTCTGGGAGGTAGCATCTCAGTCACTATGAAATTAAAAGACGCTTGCTCCTTGGGAGAAAACTTACGACCAACCTAGACAGCATGTTAAAAAGCAGAGACATTACATTGCCAACAAAGGTCCGTCTACTCAAAGCTTTGGTTTTTCAATAGCCATGTATGGATGTGACAGTTGGACTATAAAGAAAGCTGACCACAGAAGAATTGATGCTTTTGAACTGTGGTGCTGGAGAAGACTCTTGAGAGTCTCTTGGACTGTGAGGAGATCCAACCAGTCCATCCTAAAGGAAATCGGTCCTGAATATTCATTGGAAGGACTGATGCTGAAGCTGAAACTCCAATCCTCTGGCCACCTGATGGGAAGAACTGACTCACTGGAAAAGACCCTGAAGCTGGGAAAGATTGAAGGCAGGAGGAGAAGGGGACGACAGAGGATGAGATGGTTGACTGGCATCACCAACTCGATGGACATGAGTTTGAGCAAGCTCAGGGAGTTGGTGATGGACAGGGAGGCCTGGCATGCTGCAGTCCACAGGTCGCAGAGTCGGACAGGACTGAGCGACTGAATTTGAATTGAACTGAAGCCTTGTCCGACTCTTTCGACCCCATGGACCTTATGTAGCCCGCCAGGCTCCTCTGCCCATGGGATTCTCCAGGCAAGAATACTGGAGTGGGTTCCGAGAAAACTGCTCCCAATTTTAGTATTTTTAGGGAGGAGGGTGACTACGTGGCCGGTGCGGGGCGGCTGCAGACGGTCCACTCTGGGCCTGCAGCGGGGCGCCGCCCGAGCGCTGGGAGGGGCGCTGTCGGGCCCCGAGGGGACCTGAGAATTCGGGCCGCGATGGTTGCAGGGACCCCGGGGGGACAGGTGTACTACACGGGCCGCCCCAGCCAGGGACTCGGCCTCATGGGGAGACTGCGAGAGAGGCCCTCCGAAGAAAATGGGTCAGGGGAGGGAGGGGGGCGCCAGGGGCTGACCTCCCTGGCGGAGGCCGCTGGGGGACCCGCTCGTGCTCAACCCCCGTTGTCCCCCAGGACCTGGGTCCCGGCCCCCCAGTCCCTACCTGAAGCTCTGAGTGACGGGGGTGACTGTCCTGAACCCCAGGCTGCGCCCCATGCAGGAGCCCTCTAGAATGCCCGCCCGGACCACCGGGGTTTCCACCCCGGCTAGTGGCCCCCAGGGGGTGCAGAGTCTCCCACCTCTCCCTCTGACGCCCTGACCCTGACCAATGGGGGTGAGTCTCCGGCTTTCCACAAGGGTGCCATGGATGTTATTAATATGCCTGCTGTTTTTCTTTCATGTAGTTTAAAGAATCAAATTGTTCCCAGATTTGTAATTTTTAAAAAAAAACCTCGGATGCCCCCTTCTTTGCCAGCCCCCCACCCCCCCCCCCAGCTCCTCCCCAGAGACATCACTTTGAACTCTTTTTGTTGTTGTTTTCTCTCTCTTTTTAAGGACTGTATTGAGATGTAATTCCCACACAGTTCACTGTAATTCACACACACTTCAATGACCAATTCGGTGACTATGAGTACATTCACAAAACTGTGGAGCCATCACTGCAGTCAATCTTAGAATATTTTTTATCACTGCACCCCCACCCCAAGAACCCCATCCCAACCACCTATGTGCTTTATGGATTTGCCTATTCTAGATATTTCATATAAATGAGATAATACAATACGTGGTCTTTTGTATCTGTCGTCACTTAAACAATAAGCTTGCTCAGTTGTAGGCATTAAACGTGGACCTACACCAGGGAAAATGAGAATTTAGGGCCCCCCTCCCTCTTGGGGCCCACATGAGTCCCATCCCTCCTCTCGAGTTATAATTCTCTTTGTTCTTCACTGTTACTGTGACTCTGTAAACTCTACTCAGCTATTAATAAACTGTAATTATTTTTTATTTACAGGAGGATTTTGATGGTTTCTTGTCCTTTTTTCCTTTTCTTTCTATTTTCTATGTACTTACATCTAATTAAATCCAAACTCCGCCAAATGTTTAAATCTCTTCCTCTTACACCCCGATTCCAGGTATTTTATCAATTTCATACTCCTGGAGAAATCTCTCCCCAAGGCTTCCTATCACTTAGGTGTATCACATCCTCTTACAACTTTCTGGAAAAGGGAACATGGGCAGTAATTAAAAAAAAAAAAACTTTAGTTGAAAATATCCTTATTATACCTTGATGATATAGACTTCTAAATTGGAAATAATTTTCCATCAAGATTTAGGAAGACCTTGCTGCATTGCCTCTAGTCTGCAGTGGTTGTATTTTAAAGGCATTCCCATGTCTGATCTTCTGTAAATAACCTGTTTTCCCCCTGGATTTTCACTTTGTCCCACAGGTTCTGAAATGTCCCTGAAATGTTGTGGTATGAGTTCATTTTCATGTATCAATATTTGTGTTAGGCACTCAATGGGCTCTTTAAATCTTGAAATATGTGTCCTAATTATGGCTTATTTTCTTGAATTGTTTTCTTGATGATTCCCTGTGTGTGTTCTCTTTTGGGAGAAGGGGCCTGATTTATTCAAATGTTTGCCTTCCTAAACTGTCCTTTTAAATTTCTTTTCTCATTTTTATCCTGTGGCTTTTGGCTTTACTTTTTGGGAAATTTCCTTAACGTTATCCTCTAATCTTGAATTTCTTTTCTGTGATAATAGTTTTAATTTTTAAGAGCTCTATTTTCTCAATGTTCCTTTAAAATTTTTTAAAAAATTTTTTCATTTATTTTTATTAGTTGGAGGCTAATTACTTTACAATATTGTAGTGGTTTTTGCCATACATTGACATGAATCAGCCATGGATTTACATGTGTTCCCCATCCTGAACCGCCCTCCCACCTCCCTCCCCATCCCATCCCTCTGGTTGCTAAGTCGTGTCCAACTGTTTTGTGATGCTGCTGTCGGTAACCCGCCAGGCTCTCTGTTCATGGGATTTCCCAGGCAAAAAAACTGGCATGGGTTGCCATTTTCTTCTCCAGGGCATCTTCCCCATCCGAGGGATCAAACCCAGGTCTCCTGCATTAGCAGGTGAATACTTTACTGACTGAGCCATCAAAACCCAAGTTTTAGCTTTTCTCAAAAACAAACAAACAAAAAACCAAAAACAGTGCGAAAGCTCACATTCCTGCTTGGCCATAACTAGGGACAGCTGTGACACAGCTGTCAGCTCCAGGCAGAGCCTGCGTCCTGTCCTCTTTCCTTGCACCAGGGGATCATTCCCAACCTGGGAACTGAACTCGTGTCTCCTGCATTGGCAAGCGGATTCTTTACCACTGAGCCACCAGGGTATGGGCCTTCCGGGTTGCTTTTTGTTAGTTTTGGCCTCAACTGTTTCTCAGCTACCTGATGATGCTTGTCGGCTCCCATTTTGGGGGCGGGGCATCACAAATCAGACGGAAGCGCTGAGCGGTGGGTGGAGCTTGGTGACTGCGCTTCATTGGCGGGCAGCAATGTGCTCAGCTTGGTTGCATATTAGAATCAGCTGGGGAGCTCTTGAACCACTCGGATACCTGCTCTCACTGCAAAACAACTAAATCAGACTTGTCGGGGTGGGAGCCGGCGTTAGTATTTTTTAAAGCACCCCAGTTGGTTTCTGTGTGTGCCCAGCGCTGAGGACCTCTGCTGTGCCTTTCTTTGTGGAAACCGAACATCTCCATCAGTAGGACTTTTTTAGTGCTAGGTCCCCAGGAAGAATCCTCTAGTCTCCTTCCTGCTAGACGAACCCTCCAGTCTCCCAGTGAGGCACTGGGAGAAAGGAGTCAGCTGGGAAAGACTGCGCTCACAACTCCCGGCTGGGAGAGAAGGTGAGGCCAGGGTTGCCCTGGAACTTTCCACGATAAAGAGGCTCTCTCTGGCCACTTGTGTGCCCCTCTAGTGACAGGAGCGGCTTCTGGAATGTATCCTTCTGTTGTCTTTTTGCTGGGTGGAAAGAGAAAAGAGAGCAACAGGCACCTAGAGTTAATCATCATGAAATTAACAACAACAACAACAAAAACCCAAGAACTTTTCAACACAGGAAAGCAGCAGGAGTAAAGCAAGACCTTCTGGGGAAGAGGGGGAGGCTGAGGTGCCCTGCACCACTTCACGGGCTCTGAGCCCAAGGCCACAGGTTTACCTATTTATCTTTGTCTGTGCTGGGTCTTGGCGGCTGCGCTGGCGCCTCTCCAGTTGTGGTGCTCAGGCTTCTCACTGCAGTGGCGTCTCTTGTGCTGCACGGGCTCCAGGGCCCGCGGGCTTCAGTAGCTGTGGGCCTTAGAGCTCAGGCTTAGTGGTTGTGGCGCTTGGGCTTTGTTACCCCACAACATGTGGGGTCTTCCCGGACCAGGGATCAAACCCATGCCTGCTGCATTGTCAGGCGCATTCCTTACCACTGAGCCGCCAGGGAAGACCCGGAGTTTTAAAAAATACATCTTTCCTTCTCATCTGCTTGGTTGAGACCTTGTAAAGAGGGGAGATGGGATTGGGGAGGAGAAGACGAAGCATCGCTTCTGGGCAGAGTGGCTGACCCTGAACACAAGGAAGTGTTTGGGGGGAAGCGAAGCCATATTAATGAGAAGAATAACCACACCTGTAGCCAGCTCGCCTCTTCCCCAGACAAGCCGGGTGAACTCTCTAAAGGAAGCTAAGACTCCTGAACCCCTCCTCACCACACGCTGACCCCTCTGAAGAGGCCGGGTGTTCTGTGTGGAGAGACAGGCAAATGCCTCTCCTGGGAGCGGGAACCCAAGCTCTGGGCATTTAGCAAATCCGTGCAAGACAAGACAGAGTCCGGGCCAACCGCACAGGACTTCTCAGAGCCCAGGTAAGTCCTTTCTTTTTTTCACGCCAGTAGATACAGGCTCCAAACAGTTTTTTGTGTTGGAAGACACACAGGTCTCATTTCAGATGGTGTGGAAGAAAGAAAAACTTCCTCCCCTCCATCTTTGTGCAGAGAGGGGGTTTGGACAGAGGCACTCATGCTGGTGTTGAAAACAATTTCCACAAGGTGAGAGTTGCAATTTGGGCTTTATTTGGGGGCAAAATGAGGACTGCAGCCCAGGAGACGTGTTTCAGATAGCTCTGAGAAAATGCTCCGAGGAGGTGAGGGAGGAGCTAGGATATATAGGAGTTTTGCAACCAAGTGCAGGTAGTCTGAACGTCAGAAGGTCACCGTTAATTAAAGAGACCAGATATGTCAAGTTAAGGAATTTAGCGCTTTTCCTGTGTATGGGAAGGTGTAGTCTGGGCTCACTGAAATCTTTCCTTTCATATGCATCTTGGCTATTTGAGACCAATATCCCATGTTTTCACATCCTGCCTGGGGATGAGCAATATGAATAAAAAAAGGGTTACATGGCATCTGTGCAAACACTAGAGGAAAGAAAGACAGTGGCAGAATTCATTCGGGTAGAGAAGTTAAAGAAGAGCCCACAGTGTCCTTAATTATTTTGTATTGAAGTGAAATAATTTCAGTAAAATAAGACCTTAAAGATGAGAAGAAGAAACAACAAGACTTAAGCCAAAAGGGAGACTGCAAAGCTAAGAGACCAAATTGAATATTAGAATGACAGTTTCTGAGCTAAGAAATTAGAAAAGCAATAGAATGATGATTGCAGTTGAGGGTTGACTCACAGACATTGAGGAAAGACCTGCCATGATCTTAGAGAATGCAAAAGGGAAAAGGAGAGATGGTGAATAGACAAGGTAAAATGTATTTAGAGGACCCAGAGGATATTTGTGGGCTTCCCAGGTGGCGCTAGTGGTAAAGAACCCACCTGTCAATGCAGGACACATAAGAGACATGGGTTCGATCCCTGGGTGGGGAAGATCCCCTGGAAGAGCGCATGGCAACCCACTTCAGTATTCTTGCATGGAGAATCCCATGGACAGAGGAGCCTGGTGGGCTACAGTCCATGGGGTCGCAAAGAGTCAGACACAAATGAGGGGACTTAGCACAGCACAAGGACATTTGGTGACTGAGAAATAGAGAATTCAACAGACAGAATGTATAATGTGTTTAGTGATATGAGTGAATCTTCCTTAAATGAAGGAAGAACTGAACCCACAGCTCAGAAGGCACTGTCTGAAAACTCCCAGGCTGACTGACAGACGCACAGGTATAATTATGTGTGTGTGTGTGTGTGTGTGTTGGTGGGAGGTAGTTATAAGTTTGAAACAATTCCAGGCATACAAGAACACTTCAGAATGAAAAAGAACTCTTGTTTTAAATATTTTATCACATTTCCTAGATCACATGCTTCTCTATCCATCCATCAGTTCACCTTATTTTCTGATATATTTCCAAGTAAGTTACAGATGTCAGTACACTTTACCCAGTGCAATTCAGAATGCTTATTCATGAGAGTTCAAACTTTGTATACATTGCTTTGAAGTAAAATTAACATGCAATGAAATGCTCAGATCTTTAGATACTATTTGTTGAGTTTGGACAAATGCATAAACCTTTAGCAAGATACAGAGTTAGAGGTATTTCCATCACCCTAGAATGTTCCCTCCGGTCTTTATTGATCTCTCTCCACCCAAACTGGAGTGGCAGAAGGTGGGGCTCCATGTTCCCTGAGCACAGAGGACGCTCACAGCTGGACTGGGGTACAGCCAGGCCTCTCTGGACTCAGTGCCCCCAGGGAGGGCTCAGGCCTCGGCCAGTTGCTGCAGCATCAAGAGGGACCCGTACAGGGCAGACAGGGGCTCCTTGGCCTCCAGGTCCCAAGTCCCCGTGGGGTTGTCGGGTGCCACACTCAGACCACACTCCTGCAGCAGGCCAAAGGTGACAGCCAACCCCTCTTCCTCCAGCGAGGCGAGGAGCTTGGGATCCAGGGTGAAGGGATTGTTGCAGGGGTACAGGAAGGTGGGCTCCAGGATGCTCTTCACCTGGAGGAAACAGGGTCAGCTGTTGCAGGCCAGCCTTTGAGGTTGGGAATTAAGGCCTTCTATCCAGAGAGCCAGGGCCTCTCGGGGTCATGGGAGAAGGAGAGCGATGGAGTCAAGGGACCCAGAACTCTCATCCTATTCTGACCTGTGGTCAGGGTGAGCTTGGATATATTTCTGAAAATTGTTGAGCTTTGGTTCCTCAGCTGCCAAATGGTGATACTAACATCGACCTTGCTAAATAGTGTTATCTGCAATTACATGTGTACATGTGTATCTGTGCAATGTGTGCGTGTATGTGCATACATCTGTACACATATGTACTTATGTATACATATATGTGGAGGAAGACAATTTGCAAATGGTAACCGTATGAGAAAAGCATGAGTCCCCACATGTGCATTCCTGTGTGGCTCTTTTAGAACTGTGGGCACCCCCTGCTGGGGTTGCCATGGAGGTGGAGACCCTCCTGAGGTGGACCCCATCCCCTGGGCCTGCTCCCCAGAGGGAGAGGCAGCCAGGGAGTTCCCAGCGGCCACATGGCTCTGTCCCCAGTGCCAGCAGGACCTTACGTCACCTCTCCTCTCTTTCCTCAGGATCACTCTTATCCCGGTTCCCTCGCCCTCGTCCCAGGACACTGGCCCCTGGGGGTTGATTTCTCACCAGCTCCTGCTGCTGGGGCAGGATCCTCTTCTCCATGGACCAGGCCAGCAGCTCATGTTGGATGTCACTCAGCACTGGGGACAAGGGGACATTTGGGGAGAGAGAGCAGTGAGGAGTCAGTGCCCCACTGTGAACTAGGGGACCCCAAGAGAGGGGAACCCTGAGGCAGAGGAATAAAACCCGTTAGGTGTGAAGGTCAAGTTCCCTCCTGCTCTTGGGATGGTTTCCAGGATGCTCTGTAACACGGTCCAGACTGGAGCCTGGAATCATCCACACCTAGTGATAGGTTGGATGGACTTGGGCTGGTCTTTCTAGGTCCTGGGCTGGTTCTATATCCTATGGTAAATTTATCTCACTGAGCCCTCCTGACCTTGCAGAGACGAATAATATGAGATGAAGGTCATTAGAAAGATTTTAGAGAGGTGTGTGCATGCGTGCTAAGTTGCTTCATCATATCCAACTCTTTGTGACCCTATGGACTGTAGCCCTCCCCGCTCCTCTGTCCGTGGGATTCTCCAGACAAGAATACTGGAGGGGTTGCCATGCCCTCCTCCAGGGGATCTTCGCCACCCAGGGTTCGAACCTACATCTCTTATGTCTCCTGCATTGGCAGGCAGGTTCTTTACCACGAGCACCACGTGGGAAGCCCCCATTAGAGAGGTGGCAGATGGCATCTAATCCCTTCCTTTCGGGTCTCGAGGCCAAATTTGTGATGTTCCCACATTTCCCTCAAGTCATTCTTACCCAGTAAGGCTTCAAGGAGGTAAATGACGTGTCTTGACTCAAGCCGCACATTTCTTGAGTTTTCCTGCATCTCACTTAGGAAGCTGCCCGTATGAATCCAAATGTTCCCATCCAGCTAGAGGAGACCTGTATTAGTAGTTAAGACAACAACAATAATAGTAATAGCAGTAGATATTGTTGTACAATTCTGCCAGTATCTTTTGAGTTTACAAGTGATTAACTCAGGTAGGAGGGGGAGGGCTCTTTACCTCCCCCAGGAGATTCCAAGCAGCTGCAGCACGTGGGCTGCAAACCCTGGACCTGGTCACTGCTGTGCCTATGTCTGGGGTCCCCTCCTCAGCCCTCCTTCCCCGGGTATCTGTCGTCGACCTCCTAAACCTGCCCCTTCACAACTCTGATCGGCCTTAGGAAGAGTGGGACCCCTTTCTCACCATGCCTGTGAGGTCCTGCAGAGCCCCTTGGTCCTTGAGCTTCGCCAGGATGGTATGGAAAAGAGCATCTCGAATGTCCCTGGGGAGCTCAGCCACTGCCTCCATTTCCCTGGAAACCTCATTTTGTAGGGACTTGAAATCTGTCCTTAACATCAACATCAGCCAGAAAATGGGGGACAATTCTTTGATTAGAAGGTTTGTGGTGTGATAACCTGGGCACCTCCATCCCATTTATCTGCCAACCAAAAGCATTTCTGCGGACGGCATGTTTGAACTCTGAGGATGAAGCTATCATAATAGGCTAGAAAGGTGGGCAGTCCTAGTGCTGAGAAGGGGCCGGGGGTAGCAGGCAGAGGGGTGGAAGTCTGGGAGGCGAGAAGAAGATTCTGGAAAGAGATCAGAAGAAGTGGAAGAAAATGACCAAGCGCTTGGTTTTGGGTCATGTCTAGAACAATGTGGATTCTCGTGATGGGCTCTAGAGATGAGAATCCTAGGTGCTCTGGGCCCAGTTTCCACATGTATTGAGTGGGATGTTATGTGGATTACATGAGTTTACTGGGTGAAATGCTTGAGGGGGGGTGGGTAGCACCTGGCATGCATAGATTATCCATCTCATCGTGTAACTGCCTGTATCATCTGTGACCACAGACACAACCAAGGCATGGTGTTGGGGGTTCTCTGCTTCTCCTAGGAGACTTCAGGTGGCCTCCAGATGGTCTGCTAAGAGGGAGCAGTCCACTGAGGCAGGAATTTCTGTTTGGCCCATGGCTGTATCCCCACTGCTCAGAATAATGCCTGTTGCTCGAATAGTTTTCAGCAATGGTTTGTTGTGTGCACGCATGCATCCGTGAATGAATGAATGAATGAGTGGGGCTATACAAAGTATCAGCTGGGAAGTAGAGATCAGTTTTGTAAGTTGCGTGCACATCACCTTTTGGGTACTTAGCTTTGCAGTTTTCCACCCAGGAAGCCCCAGGTTTCTTCATAAATACTGACCTCGGCAAATGGGTTCCTGTGTTCTTCCTGGAAAGAGTCACACGGGATCATCTCCCTTTCTCGTCCCCCAGGTTTACTCTTGAGACGTTTTGGAGGGTCCTGCCCTCCTAACACCTCCTCCCTTTTGTTTAACCTCTTCCTCCCCCCATCCCAGCCCCTCCCTCCACCTCCTTGGCCCTCCCAGCCCCTTCCCATTCCACAGAAACTAGGGCCAGGCCCCAGGGCAGTGGTGGCAAAGCCAGGGCCATCTGCTCTGCTCTCCAGACGTGTATTTGCCATTAGGACCCCACCCCAATCCCAGCAAACGGACGGACACCAATAGGGAGGATGGGACGTCTTGTGGTGCTTAGAAGGGAAATTAAATTCCCCATCCAAGAGTTAGTCTGTGAGGACACTCGGTTTCTCTGAACTTCTGCCTACTTCCCTGAACTCCCCACTTTCTGTCCATCCCTTCCCCTTGCCCAGGGCACCAGAGCCAGCACCATGGGTAAGGACAGCAAAGGTGAGCACATGGGACTTGGGTTGTGACGGGAGGCTTTCGGAAGGAATCGGAGCCCACTTTCCTGGCTGTAAGATCACCCACTCACCCATCGCTGATTGCATCCGCCATTTCTCCGGAGAGGTAAGCAGAAGGGCTCATTCGCCAAGTGTTAACCTCTCCTCCCCCAAAACACGCACACAAACACATACCCTCATTACCTGTCCTGCTATTCAAAGGAGAAAAGTGGTTTTCTCTGTGGCTACAAAGGTCTATGGCTTCTGAAAGAAAAGATAGCAGGCTATGGAGGAAGCAGGGTAGTTTCCCTCTGGGTCTGCCTTGCAGACTAACACCTGGGCTAAGCAGTTTGCACTGCTTTTATTAGCAACCAGAGACGGTCAGGGCTCAGCAGGGCCTGGGGGCTTGGCAGAGAACTTGCCCTGCTGAGGAACTCAAGTTCTGAAAAGGCTTTCTGCTTGTCATCATCTGAGATGGAAAGAATTTCTGGATGGGGAAGAAGGCAGGTCAGGAGAGCCCACGTTATTCCTGGTGGAGGGGTCCAATCCCACTTTCCTGGCTCTGAAATGACTCGCTTACCTGGTGACATCTGCAGCTCCTGCAGTTTCCCTGGAAGGAGAAACAGACGTGCTCCCTCAGGTGCTTTTTCACCCCTCCCGTCTCCTGCCCCTCCTCCTCCCAGACGCTCTAACTCCTCCCTGTTCCCCCTTGTTTCTCATCTCTCAGCAGACATGCTGCCTGAAGACAGGGAGCCTTGGCAAGTACCGCCCGCCCCCAGGACTCTACTTCAGGATTCAGAAGAGAAAGTGGCTGTCTCCGGGGCCAAAGGGCCTGTGCCTGGGTCAAGGGCAGCGGAAGGAACTAGGAGGTGGTGGAGGACCTTGCTGGAGGAATATTCCCGTAGGACTGAGTGCCTTGTGGGGCTGCTGGAACCTTGAAACTGAGGTCTAGGCAGAGACACTGCGCAACTCAGGAACGCATCTCCTGGGAAGGTTTTCCGCTTGTCATCATGTGAGATGAGAAGAATGGCTGCAAGGGGAAGAAGCCAGGTCAGGAGAGCCCAGGTTATTCCTGCTGGATCCTTTCACACACCTGCACCCACAGCCCTCTCCCTTCACCCTCCGGCCTGAATGGTGCAGAGAGGCCCTGCACACCCCTTCCTGGTAAGGCACGACTTGCAGGCAGGGCTGTGATGATGCTCTTTCTCCTGAGTCCCGCTGTCTTCGGTTCCCACCGGCTAACACCTAGAGATCCTTCAAGAAAATTAGACATACCAAGGGAATATTTTATGCAAAGATGGGCTCAATAAAGGACAGAACTGGTGTGGACCTAACAGAAGCAGAAGATATTAAGAAGAGGTGGCAAGAATACACAGAAGAACTGTACAAAAAAGATCTTCACGACCCAGATAATCACAATGGTGTGATCACTCACCTACATCCAGACATCCTGGAATGTGAAGTCAAGTGGGCCTTAGAAAGCATCGCTATGAACAAAGCTAGTGGAGGTGATGGAATTCCAGTTGAGCTATTTCAAATCCTGAAAGATGATGCTGTGAAAGAGCTGCACTCAATATGCCAGCAAATTTGGAAAACTCAGCAGTGGCCACAGGACTGGAAAAGGTCAGTTTTCATTCCAGTCCCAAAGAAAGGCAATGCCAAAGAATGCTCAAACTACCTCACAATTGCACTCATCTCACACGCTGGTAAAGTAATGCTCCAAATTCTCCAAGCCAGGATTCAACCATATGTGAACCATGAACTTCCAGATGTTCAAGCTGGTTTTAGAAAAGGCAGAGGAACCAGAATTGCCAACATCCGCTGGATCATAGAAAAAGCAAGAGAATTCCAGAAGAACATCATCTTCTGCTTTATTGACTATGCCAAAGCCTTTGGCTGTGTGGATCACAATAAACTGTGGAAAATTCTGAAAGAGATGGGAATACCAGACCACCTGACCTGGTGGTCTTCTTGAGAAATCTGCATGTAGGTCAGAAAGCAACAGTTGGAACTGGACATGGAACAACAGACTGGTTCCAAACAGGAAAAGGAGTATGTCAAGGCTGTATATTGTCACCCTGCTTATTTAACTTCTATGCAGAGTACATCATGAGAAACACTGAGCTGGAGGAAGCATAAGCTGGAATTAAGATTGTCGGGAGAAATATCAATAACCTCAGATATGCAGATGACACCACCCTTATGACAGAAAGTGAAGAAGAACTAAAGACCCTCTTGATGAAGGTGAAAGAGGAGAGTGAAAAAGATGGCTTAAAGCTCAACATTCAGAAAACTAAGATCGTGACATCTGGTCCCATCACTTCATAGCAAATAGATGGGGAAACAGTGGCTGACTTTATTTTTGGGGGCTCCAAAATCACTGCAGATGGTGATTGCAGCCATGAAATTAAAAGACGCTTACTCCTTGGAAGGAAAGTTATGACCAACCTAGACAGAATATTAAAAAGCAGAGACATTACTTTGTCAACAAAGGTCCGTCTAGTCAAGGGTCTGTTTTTTCCAGTATTCATGTATGGATATGAGCGTTGGACTATAAAGAAAGCTGAGTGGTGAAGAATTGATGCTTTTGAATTGTGGTGTTGGAGAAGACTCTTGAGAGACCCTTGGACTGCAAGGAGATCCAACCAGTCCATCCTAAAGGGGATTAGTTCTGGGTGTTCATTGGAGGTACTGATGTTGAAGCTGAAACTCCAATACTTTGGCTACCTGATGGGAAGAGCTGACTCATTTGAGAAGACCCTGATGCTGGGAAAGATTGAGGGCAGGAGGAGAAGGGGATGACAGAGGATGAGATGGTTGGACGGCATCACTGACTCAATGGACATGGGTTTGGGTGGACTCCGGGAGTTGGTGATGGACAGGGAGGCCTGGTGTGCTGCGGTTCATGGGGTTGCAAAGAGTCGCACACGACTGAGCGACTGAACTCTTAGAAAACATATTTTTGAAAATGAGGCTGCTTCTCATCCCCTCCTAAATAAATAACACTTTGTCATTCCCCACACTCTTTAATAACACTACCATCTCCTGATGCCCTCTGCACAGTCTCTGGTCTCTCTCTAAATTAGCTGTGGATCCCATCTTTGTCTCTACTCTCAATAGAACTGGCCCTTTTTCCGGAAACTGAGGTCATCTGACCCCATGAGACTGGAGAGCTCAGTTCTTTTCTACTGCTATTGACAGGTGGCAAGTGATGCCAGGACCCAGCCTTGATGAGATGTTACAGAGAGGGTGCTATAGGTGTGTGTGCATGTGAGTGCGTGTGCAAGTGTTGAGGTTATCCTCTCAGGCTGTGTCAGGATGGCCTGTGTGTGTGTGTGTATGTTGAGGGCATCCTCTCCCCTTGGACCTCAGCTGTGTCAGGACAGCCTGTGTGTGTGTGTGTGTTGAGGGCACCTTCTCCCCTTGGACCTCAGCTGTGTCAGGACGGCCTCTAGCTGGGTCAGCATTTGGGAGGAGAGAGAGGGGGCTAAGGATGCTGAGCTGTGTTCCCAGTGCTCACCGTTCCTCCTGGGTGTGTGGTTGCTGTTTGATGACACTGGTTCACTGATGTGAAGTCAGAACCCAAAGCGAGGGTGTGTGTATTAGGGGCTGTGCATTCTGAGGCTAGTGAGGGAAAGACGTATTGACAGATAAATTCCTGTGTTCTGTTGTTGGAGCTTCCCTGGTGGCTCAGATGGTAGAGAATCCGCCTGTAGTGCAGGAGACCCGGGTTCAATCCCTAGGTTGGGAAGACCCCCTGGAGGAGGAAATGGCCTTACATCTGCAGTTCTGTTTATGACGAGCCACTGTCTTATGAGCTTTGCCTGGGCTTACGGGGCTCTGCGGCTCCCCCAGGTGAGCTGCTGAGAGCGGCAGGGCCTTGAATGCATAGACACGGTCGGGATCAGGGCTGCTCTTTGCTTCGTGCTAAGGACACCCCATGTCGGCCCCCCCTTGTGTCCGTCTCCACGTGGGACAATGCGTCTGGGTCTCCTTGTGGCCATGGTTCCGTCTTGTGGGCTTGGAGGTGGCTGTGGGAGGCTGAGAAATCATGCTCCTCCCCTCCCCCAGCAGGGAGGGAAGCCAGGGTGGCCTCTGGGTGGTCTCCCACTCCCCTTACCCCTTTCAGGCTCTGCTCATCTCGACCATTCTCCTGGAACACCAGCTGCTTCCTCTTATAGGCCATCACGGTGCCCTGGGGCAGAGTCAGCATCCTCTGTCTCACCTTCAGACCCAATCCGTCTCCTGTGCTCTGGGGGGAGAAGCCAGGCAACACGGTCATGTGTGCATGAGCTTCTAGAAGCTCAGGAGCCAGGACCCAGCAGCCTCCTGCCCTCCCACTCCCCATCCTGGTCCTGATTTCCAGTTACCCATTTTTTTTTTCTTCTTTGGTCCAGTATTTACCTTCACGTCTCTCAATGTCATGCTTTTATTGCACATATATGGGCGCCCTGTGGACCAGTCAAGCTAACACATAAAACTAACCGTCACATGGAGTTATTCCTGTATTCTAGGAGACCCGAACGACGATTAACATATATCATCATATGATCTAGATGAGTGGGATGGTGGGGCGCTGGGAGGGAGGCTCATGAGGCAGGGGATATATGTGTACGTATGGGCGCTCCACTTCATTGTACAGCAGAAACTAACAGCATTGTAAAGCAATTACACGCCAGTAAAAAAAAAAAAATGTGTCATCATAAGCTCTTTGTAGATGCTATTATTTTAATTATTTTGGATCAGGGAACTGTTCCCCAGAAACACACACAGTGTCCTCAGACAACCTCATGAGTCACTGGCTCTCCAGAATCAGCTCTGTGCTTTGACCCCGCAGGCTGCCTCCTACCCTCGAGTTCCTGAGAGAGTCCAGTTTAGACCAGTGCCACGGGGAGCTCTGACATATTGAAACACAGGGGTACCAGGCAGAACCGAGGCGGCCGTGAGCCAGGGTGAGAAGCAGGCTGTTTTAACAACACCTCAGCCTGGGAGCTGATATCAGAGCCTTGCTGGACGCTGCGAGCAGTCGTCCTACGTGAAAGGATACTGGGTTTTCTCCTCCTGTTCTTGCGAAGTCCAGTTGCCCAGCCCAAGCAGATGGAAACCCAAAGCTGAACATCAAAATGTCCTTCAGACTGGAGTCATGTTTTATTTATTTCAGGTTTCTTTGGAATCAAATCATGCAGGTGGAATCTGGCCTCCCCCCGGACAAGTTAACCGATTTGGGGAAAGTTAGTTCATATTTCAGGCTATTTCCCCCCCCCCCTTTTTAGTTCCTAAATCTCTTAAATGAGGACAACTTACACAAAGTATGTTGCATAGAAAACATGTTATAACACACACAAAATTTATCTCCGTGAATCCTAGCCGATATTGCATATACTTTAATATATTTAAATCAATTTAAAAGATTATAATTGGCCATCGTGAGTGAGTTGTATACATCATATGTGCTTGAATGTATTTAAATCTGAATCTATAAACTTTCTGCTTCAGGTATCACAGTATTTAGGGTGTTTTAACTGCCAAAGTTTTGTTTTGTGTTAATGATTCCTTGGGCTTCTCAGGTGGCTCAGTGATAAAGAACCCACCTGCAATGCAAGAAACACAAATTCGATCCCTGACTGGATTGGGAAGATCCCCTGGAGAAGGAAATGGTGACCCACTCACAGAGGAGCCTGGCGGGCTACAGTCCATGGGTCTCAGAGCTGGACATGAGTTAGCAACTAAACAACAATTCTTTGTTTCCTCTAGCAAACCACACAAGAATGTAGTTCAGCAACTACACTTTAGTAATTCCAAGGATCTATCATTTGCCCAAAGCAAAATATAATCTCAAATAATTAAATCTATTGCCCATTTTATCAGTATGGAATAATCCCATGTACTGAAATACTAAAGAGAGGATGTTAGACAGACTCTCAGGTCAGGGGTCAGGCTTCCTCAGCACATGAGAAGTGGGGAGTAATGACCCCACTCACCCCACCCCCTGAAACCGGGTCCTAAGAGGGTCCAGAGTCCCTGGAAAGGGACGCTGGGCTGGCTGTCCTGCTTCAGGACAACACAATACCTTGACATAAAAATTCCAAGGGATAGATAATTTGCCCATGCCATTCACACTGCTGCTGTCCTGCAAGACGGTTGTGTTGATCAGTTGCACAACCTCTGTCACCACATACAGGTTGTCCGTTCTGGTCCGGCACTCCTTCAGAAATGGCGGCTCTTGATCCAACACTTTCCTAGGGGGCATAAAGGAGGAGGAGGGTCAGAGAGCGAAAGAGATGGCTTCTCAGGTTACTCCTCTTAGGACCTGAAGGGTGCAGAGTCTGTGTGGAGCCCTAAATGGTGGTAAGGTACTGGCTCATAGGCTAAGAAGGATGTCTCTGGTATGCATGATGGAGAGGCCCCCTTCACTTATGGAGGGATGGGTGTGAGAGTATGCAAGCCATCTTCTTAAGGCTTTTCCAAAATTATGTTAGTTCTTTTAGAGGGCAGTTTATAGATCTCCAGCTCTAGGGCTTCTGACCAGAAGATCCAGAAGTAGACAAGTCTAGATGGTAGAAAACAGTCCTTAGGAGATCCTGCTGTCAAACCTGGGGACCTCCACACCCATCCTTGTCCAGAGACATAATCAGGGTGGGATGTGGAGCATACAGATAAAGTATGATGATGCTGGGAGGATTTTGGATGATTTTTTTTTCTTGACTAGTATAGGTGGGTGGTTATGGATTGAACATCCTTGGTAGGTGGGTAGGACTGGCTTGAAGATGTAAGTTTGGGTGGGAGATGTGAGTGGTGTGAAGTCCTGAAGACAAGTTTCATCTCCATTTCATTTCTGAGACTCATCTCTGATTCCACTCAAGGTCCCTGCTGGGATTGGTGCCCTGGATAACAACTGTGTGGAAGCCTGAGAAACTCTTAGATTGCTTTTCAGTGGAGGGGGTCACTGAGGATCCAGGGCTGAGCTTTCCCATTGCCCTTGGAGTGAAGTTCAAGTCACTTATTTTTCAGTTGCTAAGTAATGTCTGACTCTTTGAGATCCCATGATCTGCAGCACGCCAGGCCCTTCTGTTCTCTGCTGTCTCCCAGAGTTTGCTCAAATTCTTCCATTGAGTCGGTGATGCTGTCTAACCATCTCATCCTCTGCCGCCCCTTCTCCTCTGCCTTCAGTCTTTCCCAGCATCAGGGTCTTTTCCAACGAGCTGGCTCTTCACGTCAGGTGGTCAAAGTATTGGAGCTTCAGCAAGAGTCCTTCTGATGAATATTCACAGTTGATTTCCTTTAGGATTGACTGGTTTGGTCTCCTTGTAGTTGTAGAGACTCACATGTGTCTTCTCTAGCATGACAATTCAAAAGCATCAATTCTTTGGCACTCAACCTTCTTTATGGTCCAACTCTTAGATCCATATGTGACTACTGGAAAAACCATAGCTTTGACTAGATGAATCTTTGTTGGCAAAGTGATGTCTCTGCTTTTTATACCTAATACACTGTCTAGGTTTGTCATAGCTTTCCTTCTAAGAAGCAGTCATCTTTTAATTTCATGGCTAAAGTCACTGTCCTCAGTGATTTTGGAGCCCAAGAAAATAAAATCTGTCACTGTTTCTACTTTTCCCCCTTCCTTTTGCCATGAAGTGATAGGATCAGATGCCATGATCTTAGTTTTTTTTTTTTTTTTAATGTTGAATTTCAAGTCAGCTTTTTTCTCTCTGCTCTCAAGCTGCTTATCTGGTGTCTAAGGGCTGTGTTATCTGATATCTACTTATTTCCTGAGCCTCATTTTCCATTACCTTCATCTTGGTTGGCTAAGCTGCAGCCTCCCCCCTCCAACATCTTGACAATACCCACCTCTGCCCTGCCTCATTGCCTTTAACCCCTCCTCTGGATCCCTTTCATCCCACTCTTGCTTGCTTCTTTTATTCTTTAGGTCTGAACTCAACTCAGCCCCTCAGAAACCTAAACCGACTACCCTCTCTCCAGGCATTCTCTGTTACTTCTTCCTGTCTTACGTTCAGAGCCCTCATCACAAACTGTGATTACCTTTGTAGCTGAAACACGTTATAGCCTCCACATCCCATTTATTAAAAATCTAACTGCCTTTTTATATTTAAAGCTTTGATCTCAGACTTTACTTATCTTACTTGAAACTAGCTGATACAATTTATTCTAGAAATTTTCTCTGTATTCATCAAGGAGAAAAATGGTTTTTATTTTCTTAGCTCCAGAAACCCAGATATTTTCCTGCAAGACAGTCTTTGCAGATGCTATTTCCAATAATGGCTGGCAAGACACCAGGCAGACAGAAATTGGGCAATGCCCTGTCAAAGTAACTTCTGTTGAGTTTCTAGTTGCTTCCTTAACATGGGCTTCCACCTTTGTTGCCTTCATAAAAATCTATTTAAACTGGCATCTCAGTTTTTAAAAGGCGTAAAGACTTAAGTTCTTTGTTAAGTTCTTAGAGATTCATTGGCTATCCGTCTTTGCCTATATGCATGGAGGTAAATTAAATCACTGGACACTTGCAGAGTTTAAACAGTCTCAGAGTCTTTGTCTCCTTTAAATTAATATTTTATTAATTTATTTTTTATTGATTATTTCCTCACTCCCTGTACTTTGCCTGTCTACCCTAAGTAAAAGTGGCTTTCAGTTCAGTTCAGTTCAGTCACTCAGTCATGTCTGATTCTTTGAGACCCCATGAACCGCAGCATGCCAGGCCTCACTGTTCATCACCAACTCCCGGAGTTTACCCAAACTCATGTCCATTGAGTCGGTGATGCCATCCAACCATCTCATCCTCTGTCGTCCCCTTCTCCTCCTGCCTTCAATCTTTTCCAACATCAGGTCTTTTCAAATGACTCAGTTCTTTGCATTAGGTGGCCAAAGTATTGGAGTTTCAGCTTCAACATCAGTCCTTCCAATGAACACCCAGGACTGATTTCCTTTAGGATGGACTGGTTGGATCTTCATGTAGTCCAACGGACTCACAAGAGTCTTCTCCAACACCACAGTTCAAAAGCATCAATTCTTCAGTGCTCAACTTTCTTTATAGTCCAACTCTCACATCCACACATGACTACTGGAAAAACTATAGCCTTGACTAGACGGACCTTTGTTGACAAAGTAATGTCTCTGCTTTTTAATATTCTGTCTAGGTTGGTCATAACTTTCCTTCCAAGGAGTGAGCGTCTTTTAATTTCATGGCTGAAATCACCATCTGCAGTGATTTTGGAGCCCCCAAAAATAAAGTCAGCCACTGTTTCCACTGTTTCCCCATCTATTTGCCATGAAGTGATGGGACTGGGTGCCATGATTTTAGTTTTCTGAATGTTGAGCTTTAAGCCAACTTTTTCACTCTCCTCTTTCACCTTCATCAAGAGGCTCTTTAGTTCTTCTTCACTTTCTGCCCTAAGAGTGGTGTCATCTGCATATCTGAGGTTATTGATATTTCTCCTGGCAATCTTGATTCCAGCTTGTGCTACATCCAGCCCAGCGTTTCACATGATGTACTCTGCATATAAGTTAAATAAGCAGGGTGACAATATGCAGCCTTGATGTACTCCATTTCCTGTTTGGAACCAGTCTGTTGTCCCATGTCCGGTTCTAAACTGTTGCTTCCTGAGCTACATACAAGTTTCTCAAGATAGGGCAGAGATATTTATGTCTTGTTATTATTCAGTGCCCAGCACATAATAGCACAGTAATGGGTAACTACTGTTTTAATAAGTGTGTATAAGATAATGACTGTTAGTTGTGTGAATGAATGAATGCATGAATATCTAAGAAGAGCAGCATGATATGGGATGTCATTTTCTTCATTCTGAACCTCAGCGATAAGCTCTGCTAGACGCCTCCTTGCCCACAAGGAGAGCCCTTGGGGCTCCCTGACCCGTTTTTCCTCTCCCCTGGCCTCACCTCTTCTGGAGGTCTTCCCAGTCGCATGGTGAGATGGTAACAGACTGAACCTCCAGGCAGCATTCATAGGACTGGGGAGCCTTCCCCGACGCACTCACTTCTAACCCAGCAGTCGCATCCACCTCAGCTGCCTCCGTCTGGACCATTTTGTCACTGAAGAGGAATTTTCCTGTCACTACAGGCTCTGGGGATAGAAAAAAAATGACCTTAGGTTTAGCCAAGAATTCACTCTGAAACAGCTGGTGTGGGAAATAGAATAACTGAGTCCTCTTTTTATCCTAACCCTCTTTAAAAAAAATATATATATATATTTGTGAATTTTTATTTACTTAGCCATTCCTCATGGGATCTTACTTTCCCCATCAGGGATTGAACTCGAGTTCTCTGCAGTGGAAGTGCAGAGTCTTAACCATTGTACCACCAGGGAAGTCCCTACCCCATCCTTCTTACTCATGTAAATCTCAGTGGAGAAACCAGCTGACCATTTAAAGTTTTAAATGTAAATTACTGCTGAGGACAAGCAATACATCTCTCCAGGGGTTGGATAGCAAGGGATGATGTCCTGATTCCAAGAAGGGATGATATCACTTGTACGCAGATCCAGGAGAGCCTGAGCATCATCTCTCCAGGCACTGCGTCAGCCCCATGGGGCAGCATACCTAGCAGAAAATGTTTGGGGTTTAGAGCCAGGCAGACCTGATTTGGATTCCAGTTCTACCAGTTCCCAGGTGTGTAACTGAACAAGGTATTTTGTTCAGTTTCAATTTGAAAGTGAAAGTGAAGTTGCTCAGTCGTGTCCGACTCTTTGAGACCCCATGGACTGTAGCCTACCTGGCTCCTCCGTCCATGAGATTTTCCATGGCAAGAGTACTGGTGTGGGTTGCCACTTCCTTCTCCAGGGGATCTTCCCCACCCAGGGATCGAACCCGGGTCTCCTGCATTGCAGGCAGCTGCTTTTACCTCCTGAGCCACCAGGGAAGTAAATTTCAATTTATTCTTATGCAAATGGAGCTATTAACCCCCACTTCAGAGGCTGCTGTGAGGATTCAGTGTGCTAAAATGTGTCTGGGTCCAGCTAGCTAGTTAGATTCTCAAAGAAGCCTGGCTCCTTGCCCTGTGCCTTGAGGCAAGGCTGGTTTGGCATCTACCTGTGCAGGTGTCTTAGGGGTTTCTTGGGTGCTCAACTGTGAGCGCCCTTGTGTTTTACTCCTTACCTCCTTCACCCCTGGTTGACACTACCTGGGACTGAAGGACTTGGCTCCAGGATGTCCGTGAGGATGCAGTCAACTGGAACATCAGGTTATTTCCACAACTGAGAGAGGGTCCTCCTCTTCTGCCGCAGTAGATTCAGGAGACAGAATTTGTTGGCACTCAGTGGGTTTTGGATGGGCCTCAAGTCTTTGCCTCCAAGCTCTTTGACCAAATTCTTGTTGGTATGCTCAAACAGGGAGGTCATGATGCTAGGAGCGTAGAGGGGGGTACAAAGTTCATTTGGGAGAAAGGGGGCAACTTCTGATAGATCCTTGATGTTTTTCCCCAAAGGAACGGACATGATAGGAGATGAATTTAGGTCTCAAACCAGACACAGAAGGGCAAATACTACAAAATCTTATTTGTATGCAAATTTTAAATAGCTAAACTCCTGGAAGAAGCAGAGAGTATGATGGTGTCCAGGGGTTTAGGGAGGAAATGGAGTGATATTGGTCAAAGCGTTCAAAGTTTCAGTTATACTAGATGAAAAAACCATGCAGATCTAATATACAGAATGGTGACTATATAGTTAACACTATTGTATTGTATACTTGAAATATGCTGAGGATGTATCTTAAGTGTTCTCGTCACAGGCGCACAACAGGGAGTATGTGAGGTGGTGAAAGCAGAAAGTATTAGGTGCTCAGTCGTGTCTGACTCTTTGCGACCCCATGGCTTGTAGCCCACCAGGCTCCTCTGTCCATGGAATTCTCCAGGCAAGAGTACTGGAGTGGGGTGCCATTCCCTTCTCTAGGGGATCTTCCTGATCCAGGCATCGAACCCATGTTTCTTACGTCTCCCGCATTGCAGGCAGATCCTTTACTGTCTGAGCTACCAAGGGAGCCCATGTGAGGTGGTGGGTATGTTTATTAGCTTTATTATGGTGACCATTTTACAATGTATGTATGTATATTAAAATATCAAGTTATGAACCTTAAGTATATGGAATGTTTATCATTTATATCTCAATAAATCTGAAAAAAGGACTAAACAGATTTATAAAAAAGCACAAAAAGGAAGTAAATCCCATGCAGTTATGTAGATTGGAGCTCAGAGCCAAGAAATGCCCTGGAGATCCAAGTGTTTGAATTATCTATGTGTAACTGAAACCAGTTACCACTTCCTGGTATAGTACTTACCACGTAGTGCCAGTATAGTAAGGATGTGTGTGTGCATGCTCAGCTTTGTCTGACTGTTTGTGACCAGGGTATCTTCCTGACCTAGAGGCTAAACCTCCTGCAGATTCTTAACTGCTCAGCCACTAGGGAAGCCCAGTAATGATGCAGACATGAATAAATAGTTAATAGTTGGGTAGGCAAAAATGTGAAGTGCATTTTTCAGACCACATTGAGTGAGAGCAATTCATTGCTCTCTCTTGGGGAAATAGGAACAAGATTTTCCAGTTATATAGAATTCACTTTTTGAACACTCATTGAGTGTTGAATAAAGACAGAATTTTCAACAATTCAAATAAAATCCCTGATGTGACTTTCAGTTTTGTCTAGTGTGGGCCCTGGAAGGGCTCAATGGACAACAGAGAGACACAAGAACAAAAAAGGGTTTTCTCAGCCTGGGCCTGGATAAAGATATATTAAAGATACATCCCTGAGCCTTACATGCTTGCAGATTGTTATCAGGAATTCTCTTTTACTAATGGGAACTTTGGAGGAAGCAGTACCTTCTCTGGGGGTCACATTGTGCTGTGCTGAGTCACTCAGTCGTGTCCAACTCTTTGTGACCCCATGGACTGTATCCTGCCAGGTTCCTCTGTCCATGGGATTCTCCAGGCAAGAATACTGGATGGGGGTTGCCATGCCCTCCCCCAGGGGGTCTTCCCGACCCAGCAATCGAACCCACATCTCTTGCATTGCAGGCGGATTCCTTACTGTCTGAAAAACCCAAACAAATGCACCTCTGTTCATTTCACAAATCTACCCTGAACATTTCTGTCTCTGGCCAGAGTGTAATCTCTTCTCTTCTTGTTCATCCCCTGAGTCTCCAGTTAGAACTTACCAGACTGTGTATTGTTTTGCCTTGTAGAAAAGATTCCAGTTGAGTAGGGTCCCTTCAGACCTTCTGATGTCAAGCAGAGTTTGACAAGCTTCAGAGAGTAGATACACGTGACTCTACTCACTGTTTTCTCTCCACCAGTAAGTCTCTGACTGAATTTCCAATGTAAAATCCTAGAAAAACAAGCATACGACTGGCTCTCTTCTCTTCCAGGAGACTAGGGCCCGAGCTGAATTCTGAATCATGGAATCTTACCTTCTTAATTCCTTATCAGCCAAAAGTCTGTGGAGTAAAATCAGGCAGTGCTTGGTTCTATATTTACTAGACTGTCTTGGAGCAGACTGGACAGAGATACTGGGAAGTGATGCTCTTTCCCTGGCACAAAGAGAACTGGCTGAACAGGTCTTGTATTTATGCATTTATTAGTCATTGTGACTGTAATAACACACCTGGCTTACATTTTATCTTAAGTGCGCTGTATGTAAAATGCAATCCTGGATCAACAAGGAAGGGCCAAGAGTAAGCAATGCTGATTTAATGAAGATTTCAGAGGGGGGTGAGGTGGGGGTAGGGGCATTGTACAACACAGGTTAGTTTCTTGACAAGTCTCCATTAGGCATCTTTTCAGCTAAGCCTTTTCAGAGGTTTTCATGTAGGTCTTTCCTCTCAGCACCTCCTTCCTCCCCCTGACTCACGCCTGTGTCTCTGTCTCTCATCCCTGTTTCTGCTCTCCTGGTCACGGGCTTGCATATTTCTGCCATTTCGCTTCTTGGTTTCTGTTCTGTCACACATTCTCTCTTCCCTTTCTTTTCCAGGGCAACCTGAGCTTCTCAAAGCCCTCCCTCACTGACCTACTCAGTCAGCAGCCAGCTGCAATTTCTAGTCTCTGGGTCTACATTTTCTTACATACTGTCTGGATTCCAGTGTTAGGGGTACAGAGGTCAGTAAGACAGAGTGCCTGATTCCAAACGCTTACCTTTACTGTGGGGGAGACAGAAAATGCCCATTTTAAGACTGGAGAAGTAAAGAAGATGGAGGGCAAGCGTGTCCTCACAAATGCACAGAAATCACATTTGTGGACAGGTGTGTGTGTAGTTTGTGCTGAGTTTTCAGCCAGCTCCCCTCTGTTTGCTGGGATTCATGTTTCCTCCATCTCGCCTTCTTGCCTCTTCAATCTACTTTTCCTTAACGCCCTGTGCTCACTTCACTCCTTTGCCAGGATTGCCCAAACAATCCATCTTGGAATTACCTTTCTGATGTATACGTTGCATTTCCTGATTCTTTCTGAGTAGTGTCACATTTAAGAAGCCAGGGTGGGCACTTAATCAAACCCCTCTCTTTGTCACTGTTGGTTCTGCCTTCACAGTAGACCTGGGTCTGAAACAGGAGGGAAGGGGGCAAGGCACAACCGTTAAAAGAATGACATAGCTATAGGACATGACATGGCCATTTAGAACCAATGAGGTCCAAGGAGGTGAAAGAGACTGCCGCTAGCCTCAGTATACGCTCCTTGCAGCGGAGCAGCAAGCTAAACGACACACCCACAGAGGCCATGACAGTGCTAAGTCCGACCATAAAAGGTCAACCAGTGGGCGGTGGACAGTTTCTGGAAATCCCCACCCTTTCCCCCCAAACAGTTGGACTACTTCTCCCACTCATTAGCCTATGAAATTACCCACCAACTTATGAGATGGCCCACACTCTGTGTGTGGAGCATGCTCCTCTCCTAATAAATCCACGTCTTACCTGTCATTTGTTTCTCCCTGAATTCTTCATCAAGAACCTGAGTTTCATTGAGTCCAGAGGCCAGACATGTGGTCTCAGTTAAAAGACCACAGGTTCAAGTCCCTGTCTGGGACACACGGGTTCCGATCTGCTCTCTTTGTGTCAGTTTCTGTGCTGAATTCTGGCCCAGTGGCCATCACCTCTCACCTGCATCCCTGTAATCCTCTCCCAACCAGGCTTTCTACTTTGGCCCTTACTGTGTCTGTTGTCAACACAGCAATCACAGGCATCTTCTCAAAAGATGCAGTGATTTTTATTTTATTCTTGAGCTCAAGCCCTTCCATAGCCGCCAATTCTACTTCAAGTCCAAACCACGTCTTAAGAATGACTAAGCGTAGACTACACCAACATATCCTCACTCTGATGAATTCTCACACTTGTTCCTTCTGCTTTCAAGCCAAGTATTTCTTTCTTTAGAGTCTTTGCACTTCCTTATTCCTCTGCCTGGACTACCCGCCCGCCCCCCACCCCTCCAAGTGGCTGTTCTGTCCACTTCCCGTCTTATAACCGTTTAAGTCTCTGTTCAAAAGTCCCTTCTCAGTGAGGCCTTCCTGGTCAAATTGCCAAGACCACCATTACCTCTCCCGCTGCTCATGGATTTTTACCACTCCTAGCCCTCTATCTGGCCCTGTAGTTGATGATAGTTCTGAGCCTCCCTTGGGTCTTCAGAGCATCCATGGGTGGGAGTTCAGGAGATACACAGCCTGTCCAGTTGGCCCCAAATGGAAGTCAGCATTCAGCAGGGCCTGAGATCTGGGCAGAGAACCCCCCAGCCCTGAAACTCGCCTCTCTACAAAGGTTTTCTACCAATCATAATCTGAGATGAGAAGAATGGCTGGATGGCGAAGAAGCCAGGTTACTCTTGCTGGATCCTTTCATGTCCCTATACCTTGGTGCCCCCCTTCCCACTCACGCCCCGCCCCCAACTCCACCCCAGGCCAGATGCCGAAGCTTTTCTCAGTGTGGCCTGGGAACCCCTGGCATCAGAATCACCTGGAATGATCATTCAGACTCAGAATCGCTGACCTTACACTGGCTTCCCTGGTGGCTCAGATGGTAAAGAATCTGCCTGCAATACAGGAGACCCGGGTTTGACCCGTGGGTTGGGAAGATTCCCCTGGAGAAGGAAATGGCCACCCACTCTAGTATTCTTTCCTGGGAAGTCCCACGGATAGAGAAGCCTGGCAGGCTACAGTCCATGGAGTCGCAAGAGTCAGACACAACTGAGCGACTAACACTTTTCACTGAATCAGACTTTCTGAAGAGGAAGCTGGGGCCTCTATTTTAGTTCACATGTGATTTTTTTCCCTAGCTTTATTGAGATATTGACCTATAACGTATACAAGGTTAAGGTGTCCAGTGTGATGATTTGATGCATGTGTATATTGCAAAATGGTTACCACAATTAGGTTAGTTCACACTTTCATCCCCTCATATAATACCATTTTTTGTGGTAATGTTTAAGATCTACACTGTTAACTACTTCAAGTATATAATATGCAATTGTTTTTTAGATTTTTATTTGCTTATTTATTTTTGGCTGTGCTGGGTCTTCATTGCTGCATGGGCTTTTTCTTTAGCTGTGGTGAGCGGCGGGTACTTTGTAGTTGCTGTGTGCTGGCTTCTCATTGCAGTGGCTTCTCATGATGGGGCACGTGGACTCTAGAGTGTAGGCTCAGTAGTGGTGGCACATGGGCTTAGTGCTTTGCGACATGTGGAATTGTCCCAGACCAAGGATCAAACCTGTGTCCTCTGTGATGGCAGGCAAATTTTTAACCATGGGGCTGCTAGGGAAGTCCAATCCAGTATTGTTAATTGTCAGGGAATGTTTGACGGGAGGATTCCTACGTGCTGCCTCTCATGAGTCCTTTGTCCCTCTTCAAGCGGAACAGCACGCTGCTCCCAGGGACTGAGGTCATTGTGTGAGGCAGGTTTGGGTCTCCTTTAGTAAACATTCTCTTTATGACAAAAGTGCTTAGTCTCGCTCCCCTTTCTTGAGATATGGATTGTCTCCTGACCTTGTGACTAACATTACCCCTTGTTCCCTTGGTAACGGTTGCTGTACGTTTGGTTTTCTGAACTCTATCATTCCCGAAAGAAGTTTTTTGTACCACAGACTATATATACTCATAGAAAAATCATTAAAGCACCTTTGCTCCATCAGAACTTAGGTCCCTGTGTCTTTTTTGTTTCTCTTTCTCTCTCTCCTCTCTCTTTTTCTGGCTGATTCTCTGGAGCGTGGAGACCCGTCATGCTCACTTTCCTGCCCAGGTTTCTAAGACCCTCTCAAGAAGGCACTTTGTGCCTTCACCCCCTCGAGAGGGTGCCTGGTGCCTTCGTGAGTGATGCAAGTCCTGGGTCAAGGGCTTTATTGGCCCTCTGCATAAACCAGGGAATATCAGCCTCTTTCTCTCTTTTACTTTCTTATCGTTGACTCCGTACCACCAGGTTCTGGTCCATTAAGGACCCCAACAGTTAATGACAGTTGACATTAGATCCCCTAGACACATTCTTCTTATAACTAGAAGTTTGTACCCTTTGACCAACGTCTTCCCATTCTGTCCACCCCCCCAGGTCCTGGCAACCATCATTCTATTCTTTGTTTGTATGACTTTGGCGTTTTTATTGTCCAAGTATAAGTGAGATGACATACTATTTGCCTTTCTCTGCTGATTTGTCTTGCATAGAGTAATGTCCTTGAGTTCCATCCAGTGTTGCACAAAAGTGGCTTGGAGCCTACATGTTAAATAAGACTTCCAAGGGCAATTATATACAATCTAATGTGATATTGGGCTTCCCATGTGGCGTTAGTGGTGAAACATCCGCCTGCCAATGCAGGAGACAGAAGAGATGCAGGTTTGATCTCTGGGTCAGGAAGATCTCCTGGAGGACAAAATGGCAACCCACTCCAGTATTCTTGCCTGAAGAATCCCATGGACAGAGGAACCTGGTGGACTACAGTCCGTAAGATTGCAGAGTCGGACATGACTGAAAACATGATATTAGATTGTAACATCAATCTAATGTATACATTACACTACCTTTAAAAGGAAAGGAAATCGGCTTCTTCCCTCTGTCCTCTAGGGCTGTCTTCCTGTTCCCTGTTATCTTACTCTCCTTGAAGCTCCTCCCTCACCTGTCTGTATCTAATTCTGCCACCATCCTGGGTGATTTCCAGTTTCATGTAAGAAATATACAGAGGCCCGAGTCTTGCCTAAGGCCAAGCGTTAAGTGTTTGTCAGAGGACAAGAGCCCATCAGGGAAGCAGAGTGGAAACGGTCCCATAAACGGAGGCCCCATAGATCACGGTGTGGCAGTGTCTGGGGAGAAGAGAGCTCTAGGACGGAATGATCAAGTGTGTGTTCCGTGGTGGCGCATGCAGAACACATTCACCAAAGGACAGGCTGCAGTGGGTTGAGGTGTGGGTGCCGGGCAGAGGGTGAGGATACAGGCTGTAGGAGATTCTTAAGAAGTTTCTATGAGGGGCAGGTGGGTGGGACGAGGGGAATCACGGGAGGAGGGCACCTGGGTGAAGGGGTTTATGAGCTGGCAGAGACCTGATCTGGTCATCAGGTCCTGGGGAAGCACTCGGGCGACCTGGAGAGGGTGAAGATAAGCTTGTGTCCATCACTTCGCTGGACACGTTTCTCTAATCATCACACCAACTCTGAAGAGAAGGTCTCTTCTACTTTACAGATGCTGCTGCTGCTGCTAAGTCACTTCAGTTGTGGCCGACTCTGTGCGTCCCCATAGATGGCAGCCCACCAGGCTCCCCCGTCCCTGGGATTCTCCAGGCAAGAACACTGGAGCGGGTTGCCATTTCCTTCTCCAATGCATGAAAGTGAAAAGGAAAAGTGAAGTCGCTCAGTCGTGTCCGACTCTTCGCAACCCCATGGGCTGCAGCCCACCAGGCTCCTCTGTCCATGGGATTTTCCAGACAAGAGTACTGGAGTGGGGTGCCACTGCCTTCTCCCCTTTACAGATGGGAAGGCTGTGTAAGAACAAAC